CTGTTGCAGCATTGGCTCTTTCTTCTGCATGGTTTCCTTGACCAGGTTTATATATATATATATATATATATTATATATTCATTCATCTAATTCATTCATCTAATTGAGATCTTGTATTTGGCAAAGTTACCCACTGTCTTACCTAGTGATGACAGCTTCCAATCAAGTTCCTTCTGTGCTGGATCATATCCAAATACTCTGAGTATGTACAGCAACTCTACTCATTCCATTTTGAACATACCCCAAGTTGTTCTAAGTGAACGACCTTGTCTACTGATCAAGGGGTATAGATACACAGCACAGTAAGATGAAGAATTACACCACAAGAACCACCTCAGCCTAGGCTGCCATCATTGCTCAAGACCAGCTGGTTTGAAGCGAGCTTGGGTATGTTGAACTGCATCAGATTTCCCAGTGGATGTCTGATGTGTGTCACAAATCCTCAGCAGCAATCGTTCCAGCAGGACTGAACAAGAAGTGGAGCTTCAGAAAAAGCCGTAACCTTATAGCATTGGTTACAAGTGAAGAAAACAGACCCTTTTGAAGAATTAAACTGATCAAATAAGCAGAGTTAGTCACATGAAGACAGCAAAAAGTGGGTCAGTTCCACTATTTTTAGATAGAGCGGGAAGGAAAAGTTTTGTGGCTTGGTGGTTTTTTTAGCAGAAATTAAGATAAAGGCTCAAGACATTGAATGAACTGGGAAAAAAAAAAAAAAAACAAAAACCAACTGCTGAGGATTCCAGTACTCTTTCCAGTGCTTTACATGGGTTTCAGATGGATATTATCCTACACACACACTCCTAAACAAGGAATTCTCTACAACAGAGTTTGCTTTTTATGCCATGTATCAATCACATTCTACAACTCTAGCTAGTTACAATAAACTCAACTCACATTTTATAGTGTATGTGCAAATGCCATTATTTTGTAATATACCAGACACCAGAATATGCCATCTTTCCAATAAGGAAAAAAAAGGGACTGTAATCTATAGAACATTGGAAACTCTGAAAAAAAAAAAAAAGTATAGGATATTCTTTACCTAATTACATCAATGAGATTCACAGTTCTGCTTGTTACTTGGGTTTTTGAAGCACCTAATTTTAACACCAAATGGAATGGAATACTTAGATTGGAAAAGAACCTTAGCAGAGTCCAACCGTTAATATACCACTGCCAAATCCAACATTAAATCATGTCCCTAAGTGCCACATCTATATGCCTTTTAAATAATTCTAGGGATGATAACTCCAGTACTTCCTTGGGCAGTTGCTTATAATGCTTGATAACCCGTTCAGTGAATAAATATTTCTGAATATCCAAGAATAAACCTCCACTGGCACACCCTGAGGTCATTTCCTCTTGTCTATCACTTGTTACTTGGGAGAAGAAACTGATCCCCACCTTCCTACTCATGTGATAGCTCCTGCATCAGCTTCATTGATTTCTTTGGATGGTGTCTTTCCAGAGACAAAGAACAAATTTTCATATAGTTATTGATTTCTTCTCCCTTAGCTGGGAATTCTGTGTCTTACAGTCTTAGCTACATGTAGATGCCCATTATGTGTTAGCATAAGACATTGAGCAAAGATGTAAGAGATCTGTGTTATGATGAGAAGAGAATAAATCCCCAAATTTTCCTCCTCATAGCATCTATGGCATTGTCTTATCCCTGATCTCTTCCCCTACTCTGGAACATCAGATATGAACTGTAATGTGGTTGCCCACAATTGCTATTAACTGCACACCTCACCTGGTAGTTTTAACCAGGAAGAACAAGCAGGAAAATGCAGGAAGGTAAAATTTGTTGGGCTTTCCCTACTGTATGTAACTATTTATATTCTTATTATATCATGTAGTACATGGCACTTGGTGTCTTCCTACAAGGAATATTTGTAATGGAGTGTGTTCACAGTGGCTGAACACTACTGTGCCAGAATCTTCAGAAGTTATCAGTTTAGCTGTGTCAGAAAGGGCCTGCTTTTCTGAAAGCCCTGATCTTTAAAATTCAAGTTGCTTTCAGGTGTTTTAGGCTGAAGTACAGAATTGATATGGACAGCTTCTTTTGAAAACCTTCTTACTCTCAGCATGTGTCTTTAACATAAATAAAATGGATGTAAATGAAAACTTAAGGAGAAGTAATAAAAGATGCACATCATGTAGATGTTGAAAAGTCATAATGCTCTGCTTTCAGAAGGAAATAAGCAACACACAGTGCTTAGCACCAGTGCAGAAGATCAGAGTGCTACTGATTCTGTCTGTCCACACTATCCATCTCCTGGGCACAGTCATGCACCAACCATCCCAGTCAAGCACCTTTCACCTTTTGCAGGATGGGTTTCCAATGAATCCAAACCAGCTGCAAACCAAACCCACTGATCTTGGTTCTTCTGTTCAGATGTTAAGCAACATGACCTCTGCCAAAATTAGTAAGCTCCTCATCTCCAATAGTTCCCAACACTTTGACATTAATGACCATTTAGTCTCTGCAGAGCCTATTCCTGCAAAGCTTTCTGATGAGGGAAGTGCCAGTGAATTTTCTGGATACTGAGACCCTACTCCTGTAATGAACCCCTCCACAGCCACAGGCCTTGTCAAGGCGCTCTTCACAGTGACATCGGAGATTCTGAGCAGCAAAGCATAAAACCGACTGGAGCAGGCAGACTGTGGGCTGAGGCTTCTCCTCCCATCTCACCTCTCTGCACAGCATTTGTCTCTGTGCGGGGAAACCTTGAGGCAGGGCTCACTCAGTAACAAGAAAAATTTAATATTGTTTATGTAATATGTGAGGTCTGTGAAAAATAACCAAAAGGAGCATAAACTTTCTTGTTTCTTCTGCACATTTTACTGCAACGTGCTGAAACACCCATTAGAACATTTACAGAAAAATCACATGAAGAGATGCACTGATGCTGTTGTAAGAGTAATTAAATGTAGTTGCTTCTAGCTGTGTTAGTACTAGTATAAACCAGAGTCTGTCCATATGTTCACACTTCCATACACTCATGCTCAAATATGATTCAGGCTCTTCTTCAGTGTTTCAGTGAAACCAAACATAGATATGCTGGCAGGCTTATCATAACCTGAAAGCATTTACAGGAGATAATTCAAATTTATTTAATATGGCATTTCCACAATGTTAATGGGTTTTTAAGCAATGTGCATAAAGTAAATTTAGTGATGCAAGAGAACAATGAAAATAACTTAAATTAGACATGAATTGAATCTAAGGTTCCTTTCAGTTGGTATTACTGCATGTGGTCAGTATTGCAAGCAAAGATGCCTCGTAACTTCAGAAGTGGGTGTGCTGCAATATTCTCAAAACACTGAATCTTTGCAGAGCAATGACTCATTGAACCACAGCTGTCTGAGGACTTTCTGAACGTCAGCATAGGATAAGATCCTTTCTACCTCTCTTGGGAAACAATCAAATCATCACTTTAAATTCCCAAGAGCAAGTCTTAAAGAGTTTTTACTTTAATAATCACTACTGAAGATATTATTTCTTTCAGCTGAGGACTTCAGTAATTGTTTATTGAAATCTTTTTAAACAAATATTTGTAACTGCTAGGAAAGTCAACCTTTTTCTCCCTGGTAAAGGCCAGAAATGCAACCATCTCATTCCTTGCACCTACTTTCTTCTAGGTATGTCAGACAGGAATCACTCTTATGGCTAATTTTTCTAAGAATTAAAGGACAAAACTAGAAGGGATTTGAGACCCCTCAGGTATTATATGGATGAACAAAGATACAATCTGGACTGAAAAGCTGTGGCAAAGTTCAGGTACCAAATAGCTGAATGTTGTACAGGTTTGTTCAGATATATGGCCCTACCACACTGGACTCAAGTTTCAGCCACAGAAATGTGAAATTGGAGAGATAAAAATGGGCGAAGAATTGTCCTTTTACTAGGACTGTGTGACACCATTTCAGCTACTGAAATGTTTTAGGTAGTTGTTTTCATAGCAGAATATAGTGGGCACAGGTTGCTGTTACACATAGTACCTCAGGTATTGAGCTAGGATCCAAGTCATAGTCACTTCACTGATGTGAGACTTGACCTCAAAACGCCTCCAGCCTGAGAAAATAAACCACATCTCTTTTACAGTCAGCTGGAACACAGATGACAGCAACACCTGGTAGTTGGTTTAACAGCTTTTTGGATTGTGCTGCATGCCAATGAAGTTGGCATTTGGCGACACCCTGGGCTGATTAATGCCAAAATTAAAAAATTCTGCATCACACCCAGGCACGCTTCATGAGCTACTGGCAGGTGCTCTGACTGGAGGGCTGCAGTTCCTCACAGCCTGCATGATCAGGCTGCTTACTGCCTTATTCTTCCATACACCGTGTAGGCTGTTTTTCCTAACTGTGCATGTGCTACAGCAACCCCACAGTCCCCAGTTCCCTGCAGCCCTCACTTTAAAACCTCTTAACATGATGGCAGTCGCCACTGAAGCTGTGAGATCATCCAGCAGTTTTAACTAGCTACTTCAGATGTGTACATATGGAGTATTGCGTATCTAAACTGACAAAAAGTACTGTCCCACCTCAACGATATGGTTCCTCTTTAGGAAGAATTTCTTCACAGGAAGGCTGATTAGACATTGGAACGGGCTGCCATCGCAATGGAGTCACCGGGCAGTGTTTAAGGAAAGACTGGATGTGGCACTCAGTGCCATGGTCTGGAGGTCAGGGAGCTGTTGGGTCCTAAGTTGGACTCAGTGACCTCAGAGGTCTTTTCCAACCTAACTGGTTCTGTGATTCTGTGATGGCAGCCCTGCCTGCGGCCCCACAGACGCGCCGCACCCCGGCCGCGGCTGCCCGGGCCTCGGGCGGCCGTGTCCGGCGGGGCGCGGCTCGGGGCAGCGCCCTGCTCCGCGCAGCGCCCTGCTCCGCGCTCACTTCCTGCCAGGGCGGGGCCTGCTGCCGGCGGATGCGAGCGGTGCGGCGCCGCCGCGGTGCTGGCGCAGGGCAAGGTGACTGCGAGGCGGCCGCGCAGAGCCTGGGCCCGGGCCGCAGATGTGCGGGGAGGCGGCGGGGCGGCAGCGCCGGGGGCGGGAGCGCGGCCGTGCCTGGGGGCGACGCAATGCGCGGGCCGGGGCGCGTTCCCGCGAAACGCGGGGATCCAGAGCCCCGGCGATGCGGGCGCGGGTCCCCGGGAAAAGCTGGGATCCAGAGCCCCCGCAGGGGAAAGGTGCGCACGGGGACACTATCCAGAGGAGCAGAGAGAGCGGCGGGCCGCAGGCGTGGCTTGTCCCGGGATGTGCGGGAGCGGGGGAGTACCCGGCAGACGTGTAACAAGTGAATGGCCTGGAGTGTGAGGGCGGGTTTAGGCTGGGTATCAGAAAAAGGCGCTTCGCCAGAGAGTGGCTGGGACGGGCTCCCAGGGAAGTGGTCGCAGCACCAGCCTGACAGGGTTCAGGAAGCGTTTTGGACAGTGCTCTCGGGCACATGGATGCTTGAGGTGTCCTGTGCAGGAATAAGAGTTGGATTCAGTGATCTTCGTGGTTCCCTTCCAGTTCAGCATTGGAGTAATCGTATTCTGTGGTTCTTGGTGTATCAATATTTGGAGAAGCACAGGGATTGGTTCTTTGTACCAGAAAGGGGCCTGATGAAGACATCAGCCACATTCTTGGGAGGAATGGTGGGGAGCATTTTTTGCCCTAAAATATGGGCAGGGAGATGGATGCTTTTCCACCCTCACAGAAGCGTTTGAGGTGTCGTTGGTCACCTGCACTGGGCTCTAGGAAGAGGCCCTGGATGTGTTTGCACACAGGCGATGTAGGACCAGTGGCTCAGCAGATGGGTGGAGAAGGGTGGTGGGCATACGCATACTGATACAGGGTGTGGGAAGAGTTCAGGCAGAATAACCTGCATGCCACACAGCAAAGCAATTGGGAAGATGAAATTTCCCTCAACACACGGGCATACACAGAGTGTAGAGACAGGGTCTTTGATTTTATAACCCAGTGTTTCAGAGGTGTGAATGTACAGTATAGAGTATACCGGTGGTATCATTTGTTTGTGAAACAGTGATCAAGGAGTGCCCCATGCTCTGGGGACTGCTAAGAGAAACAGTAGCTGCATTGCTGCTGTAAAGTCTGGCCCAGAATTTTCCAGTCTTAAAAAGTCCTTGAATCTGTAATAATCTAAAAACTTTAGGATGGGATATAGAAGAGCGGTAGACCAAAGCAAATGGAAATTATGTATTTCAAGTAGTCCTTCATGGAAGACTGTTTTATTTATTCTCCCTTCTGCTAAAGATTGCTAGTCCCTGGAAGGTGGAAGAGATAGACCTTGGAAGAGGAACATCCCCCAGCTAGAGAGTTCTATGTAGATCAAACTCAGTATATCATCACACATCTAGAAGCTAAGAGGCAAATGTTAGTGATTTGTTATTGCAGGTAATTTTGGTGAACAGTCCTGAAAAGAGATGAGTTGCCTGCAAAAGCTGATAATAAATTCTAAAACCACAGAGGTAACAAAATTTTGTAGCTAGGGTGTCACAGCTCTGCTTGGAGGAATTTGCTGTTAATGGCTGAAGGGACTTGGCCGTTCCTTTTTGACAGTGAATGCTTTCTGAAAATACAGAATTATTTTTGCATTTAGGCTCAGAAAAGTTTGGAGTCAGGATAGAATAATGCCTGCTATTACATTATGATGTAGCAATACATCAGATGTTTCTTTAGGAAACATCCAAATTATCCTAGAAAACAACAAACCAATTTAATTAGTGGCAAATTTCCACATGCAGTTGATAATTATATTACATTGTTGCCTACCTTATGTTAGGGTAAATATTTTGGTTCTTCATATAAGCAGGTGTTTAAAATTGACAGCAATAGAAAACCAGTCTGCACCAAGGCCAGTGTGTGGCTCATTTGGCAGCTTTTTGAAACTGCTGTGTTACAGAGTTTTAAGGCAGTACTGGAAATAATTCTGCTTTGAAATGTAGTGTTGACAGAAGTTGAAATGGAAAAATACCAGGAATTGCCTTTGATTCTAGTAGATTCAGACAGATTTGGTGTGTCTCCACATCTACGTCTAAAATTATTTCAAGAGACCATTATTACAGCCAAATACTAACTGTAATTAAATGTGATCTGCATGGCTGGAAGATGTGTGGGCCAGTGATTCAGTTCTGTAGTTATGGTGAAAAAAGAGATTTTATTTTTTCTCAACTTACAGACCTTCTTTTTTAGGAGATGGTATGTTCTCTGTCTGGATGGAGGATTTTTAGAATTTTAGACAATGGTTGAAGAAAAAAGGAGGACAGAAAACTATTCTGCTTCTTAAAAGACTGCTTTGCATAAATGAAAAGAAACTGCTTTGTCAGAAGGGTCTTGGTGGTCCTAGCTCAGACAGGTAACTTGGAGTTAGCAGACTTCAGATAAGTTTGCTTTGTCACTTCCTTATTTTGCAGTTTTTTACTTCGTCTTCTTGTTTTATGTAATATAGAATATGTATGCAGCGGTGGCCAACTTGAACAGTTTTGTAAGACGTTTGCCTCTAGTTATACTAATATTGTTCATGCAGTTTCAAAGACAAGCTTTTAGGTGTGTCAGAAGTGGCATTCACATCTTGATCACCATTTTATTTGAATTAGTGGCTGGTTTTACATAAATAATGACAGGATGTCCTGCTCAGAACCACCTCCAAAGAGAGGTTGTTTAGAAATGAGGAAAAGCAGTGGGGTCTGTTAGGTCTGAGTCTGGCTGGTGTCACTGCCAGTGATGGTTACTGATAATTTTCACTGATAGTTTCCACTGATAGTTTTCACTGATAGTTTTGCAGAGCTGTAATGGATTGCAAATGGACTAGAGATACCACTTTAGCTTTGACAATTTGGCACAGATTCCTATCACCCTAATGTTGCTATTACACCATAGCATTGTTTTGTCATGTGTGATGAAACCTAAACTAATGTCTTAAAAATAAGGAAATCTTGAAAGATTGATGAATTTTGTAAGTTTCATGCGAGTGATGTCACAGTAGCCTTTCTTGTAGAACTTCGCTGAAAAAATCTGAATGCATTCTAAAAGAAGCATGGAATTGCTCCTGTTAAGATTGTCGTGTACTGTCATGCTTTTCTGGCTGGAAAATCAGTAGAGAGATTGATACCACTTCGAGACAAGGATAAGCAAGCCTTGTCCATTAATCCAGGAAGAGTTCCATCTGTAGAGTGGAGCAAAAATCTGAGATAACATTAGATTTATACCAAAGGGATGGTACTTACTTAAACTCGTGCTAACAGCTTAGTAATTTCTGTTAGGGAGGAGAGGAAATTTGGGTTATTTTGATGTTTCATATTATTGATTTTCTTAATGTACTTTGGCCTACAAAAGGGTATGTAAGGCTTTAGAAATAAATGTTTAACTTGCTTTACCTCCCCCAAAATGTGTTTAATGGAGATACATAAACTATCTTAGTCAAAAACTTTTTGCTTACAGAGTCTATCAGTGGATGCATCTGAGCAATTTGTTCCATTCTTTTATTTGGAATATGAGATTTTCTTTCTTTCATTTACTAAGGCAGAATAGTTTTTCTACTTATACAGAAGTTTCCATCAGATCAGGGAAAAGTAATTTTACTGTTTAATTACAGTTGAACTTCATAATACTTAAATATTGTTTATACAAAATTTTTATATATTATTTGTAGAAATAGAAGTATTAAAATGCAGTTTTAACTGGAAAAAAGAAATTTCTAGTCTAAATTTTGTAAACAGAACTCTGTTCTGTTAGGTGCTAGGTGTCCATTATAAGTGGAGTAGTCACTGTGTGTCCACCACTGAGGCTGCACTTGTGTGTACTGTTCATGAAGCAATTACCATTTGATGTAAGTAAATTACTATTATTAATGACACATTTCTTGTTTTCTCTATTATGTCAGGAGGTGTACTTCAAGAATCTTTCAAAACAGAAACAAAAGGAAGTCATGGAGAAGAATGGAAACAACCACAAACTTCGTGTTTGTGTTGCTACTTGCAACCGTGCTGATTATTCAAAATTAGCTCCCATTATGTTTGGTATTAAGGCAGAACCACAGTTTTTTGAGCTTGATGTCGTAGTGCTTGGTTCCCACCTGATTGATGATTATGGGTAAGGTGAATTTTTGTCTACCAGTGTGTTTCTGAGGTGTTAGCAATGATAGTATGAACATTAGGTAAAATGAACTCTTGGCATCAGCAGTCAACATCAACACAACAAATGTGGCATCAAGAGAACAAAGTTTTACTTTTTTTTCCGGAATTTTATTTTGCAGCTCCTTATGAGATTGCATATTTCATGCATTTTTTTTTTTTCAGCCAGTCTTGGAATTCTAGAAAGTTTTGTGCAAATGCTGTAATTGAGACGCCAAAAAGGGTCACAGACTGTATGAAATGAGAAACTCATGACCTGCATTTTTCCCTGAAACCAGGTGATTGTCAACTGTGCTACAGTTTTTTAATTTTCATAGAGAAAAGAGCCTCCTCAGTCATTTTAAATTGCAGCTCTTCTAATTTGTAGTTATTGGAGAAAGTACTTACATATTGCATATCCCAGGAGAACACTGTTAGTTCTTACTTCTTGTATTGTGGAGGCAGGAAAGTGGCCATATGTTTCTGACAAAATGAATAACAAAATGATAGATATATGGTTATCTGGGTGGTATATGGGTAGGTGGGGGAGAATAGAATCCCAGTCCATAGCTCTCCTTAAGTAAGCAGTCACATCACCCACTCAGGAGGATGAGATGTCTTGGTCCAAATCCCTTCCCTTGGAAGGACTTCCCACATCCCAGGTGGATATTCGCCTGGTTGTTGGAGAAAAGGTAGAAGAAACAGCATGGATAGCCTTTCCAGGATTGTGGTTGATTTTCCTCAGCTGCATTTACCAGATTGGACCCAGTAAGTCCAGTAAATAAGAAATAAGAAATAGATTTGAAAATGCATATTCTGGAAAACAAAATCAGACTTCATCTTAGGTTTGCAGTATATCGGCATTGTCAAACTTTCAGAAATGTATAAGTGTATCTTCTAGTAGAGATACTTTTTGGACTTTCCAGTGAGAAATGTTGGCATTTTATAAGCCAGGACAGGAGGAAGTTATATCATTTCAAACTACTAAGGCAGGGTGTTCCACTGCTGACTGTTCTCTTTCTGCGCATTGTAGTGCTCTGTTCCTTGCTTTGTACGGGATGTTTTCATCTAGTAACATGGCAAGGTGAATTCAATATCACAAGACTAACCTGATTCAAAACAAAACCAGACCAAAAAAAAAAGAAAAAAAAAAAAAAACAAACAAAAGAAAAAAAACCCACCAAACGAGTTGAACTTCTTGACAGGTTAGTATGTTGAATTGCTCCCTGTCTGATTGGAAAAATAAAGTTATCCCATTTCATTTGCTAAAAATTACAAACATGGTCCTGATTTCTCCATAGCACATGCCCTTGGCTGTCTGCAAGACTTATGCAAAGTAATACATAATACTACTTTTCCAGTTCCAAGGTGTTGAACACTTGTCTCTGTATTGTGAATTATTTGTAATGCACAAAGCAAACCACAGAGATTTTGATCTGGCAAATGTTTTTGTTGTTAGTTACTTTGTGGTAAGTATTCTAAAACCCAGGTACTCCTTGGGGTTTTTTCAGGGCCTAGCCCTGCACCCCTTAATCTGGGTCATCCTAGGAAATTAGTGGGTCCTTGGAACATATATGTTCTACTGCAATGAATGGGGTAATCAACAGTAACAGAAGTCAGATGACAGTGATCCTGTGAAGTGACTGTTACTGAAATGCTTGGAGGATCATAAAAGAAACAAAACCACCAGAAATGCAGTCTTGTTTGTCCCCTAGGTTTTCACCTTTCAAAATGCAAAGAATACAGAAACAAAGAGGAAACAGGTTTTCTTAGAGGAATGTACATTATCAGGACGATGGTAGGTCTGTGAAGGATATTTGTAAATGGAGTTGGAAATGTAATGAAGTTTATGCTATATAAATGTGAGCCCCTTAATAAAATAAAAAATATTTGCCTTAAAAAAATTCAAAATCTGAAATAACATATGCTACCTGCAGGATGTTTTCTTTAAACATACAGGCCTCAGCTTTGCATCACATTGGTTGTTGTATTTATAGAGCTGTCCAGAGAAAAGTCAATAAACATACCCATTCTGACAGGAAATCATGCCACGTCTATTCTCTGAAAGTCTCAGTGGACACATGAACAAAGGGTTTGCTTTCTGAGGATTTCCTCAGTATGTTCAGCACAGTTCCTCCTTAAAGGTGTCTAGAGAAACTGGGTGTTTGGAATATTAGGGAAGATCTTCACATGAATGAGAATATTCTGTTAAAATCTTAAAAGCTATTTTCCTCAATGAAGAAGATGTGGAAAGCAGGTCTTTTTTTAACCCCGGTGCAGCTGTTGTAATTCGTGTTTATTTTGTGAAGCAGTATTGCTGTAAAATCAAGTTGTATTGCCTCTGATAACCCTTTTTCTCTGACCTTCAGTAATACCTATCGTATGATTGAACAAGATGACTTTGATATTCATACAAGATTACACACCATCGTGAGAGGGGAGGATGAGGCAGCTATGGTGGAGTCGGTGGGCCTTGCATTAGTCAAGTTACCCGATGTCCTCAACCGCCTGAAACCTGACATAATGATAGTTCATGGGGACAGATTCGATGCTTTGGCCCTGGCCACGTCTGCAGCCCTGATGAACATTCGCATTCTTCACATTGAAGGTGGGGAAGTCAGCGGGACCATCGATGACTCCATCAGACATGCCATAACCAAACTGGCCCATTACCACGTGTGCTGCACGAGGAGTGCAGAGCAGCACTTGATAGCCATGTGTGAAGACCACGACCGCATCCTCCTAGCAGGCTGTCCCTCATATGACAAGCTTCTCTCTGCCAAAAACAAGGACTACATGAGTATTATTAGCATGTGGCTAGGTAAGTGGGCCACTTCTTATGTTTTTCTCACATGCCTTTCAACACTAGAAGAATTTAGTAAGTAGGCTATCAGTCAAAAAGTAATATATATTTTTTAATAGTACCTTTCTATATTTGCTTTCATTCTGTATCCTGCTATGTACAATTGCAAAGCTACAAATCTATTACTGAACACTTCCAGACCTTCTGCCAAGTTAAAAAATAACTCTTAAATGGGTAATTTCTCCAAGCTGAACAATTTAAAAGCAGAACAGTCTTACATGAGCAGTTACTTTGGTGTAGTAGAGTTTTAGTTAAATGGAATCAAAGCTGTTCAGGCCTAATATAAAAAAAAATCACACAGAATTTGTATTATGAACCTTCTTTTGAGGAATGCACTGCAACGGGACAACATGCGCCGAAGGCTTTTGGTGTTTAGTACTCACTGACTTAGAAATAATTCCTGTAAACAGTGGGGTTTTGTGTTTGCTTTTTTATCTTTGACAAAGCAGTCTCCTGTATGGCTACCATTTGTAGTAGCTGGAATCTTTTTCAGTCAGTATGTTTTGCAGATAAATGTTTATCAAGTGTACTAAGACAAGTATGACTGTTTTAAAGGAGTGGAAAAGAAGTCTTTGCTTGAGAATGGACAACTGACAGAAAATCAGAGCAGCTTCAGGAGTTGTTCCAGATTTTTAGTGGTGTGAGAACAGTCTCCTGCTGCTGGTACAGTCTTGGAAAGCTTCAGAAGTAGGCTTGCAAGTTAATAGTTTGTAGCCATTTAGGTAGTGTCTCTAAAGTTAGGAGACGTGCTTAGAGAGGCAAATAACAAGATAGGCTACCCTGTAAGTCCCTTGATTTTTATTCTAGCATTGATCCCCATGTTTTAGATACATCCCATTCAGTGCCTTGACTTTTCAGGGTTTTACATCTGTAGTTCCAAAAATATGTCCTTCCTACTTCTTGCTATTCTACACCAATAAAAAAACTTTTCTTGCCCTCCGTTTGGACAGGTGAAGATGTCAAAACCAGAGATTATATAGTTGCTCTGCAGCATCCTGTAACCACAGATATTAAACATTCCATAAAGATGTTTGAGCTGACACTAGATGCACTCATATCCTTCAACAAGAGAACACTTGTTCTGTTCCCCAATGTGGATGCAGGTGAGTAGAATACCTTCACGACAGAGTGACACATAACAGATTGTCTTCAAAAGAGTGCTTTTATCCCAGGTCCTCCAGCCAGATAGAAATAGCTGGATTGTGTCAGCCTCATGGGTGCATCTGCTGCAGCTCTATGTTTGCAGTGCTGGAGGACATTTCAGTTTTTCAGTGTGGGAAGGAAAATGAGGAGAAACCACGTGACATAGCAGCAATGTTAGTGCCTCTTAAATTAGCTTAAAATTACAAAGATACTTTCACAGTGAATTCTTGTACCAGACTTTGGCATATGTTCTGAGCTAAATGCTTTACAGTGTAAGGATAAAAAGAGAGCAAAAATGTCTTCAGAGCTGGAATGAACTCAGTGAATGGCTGTCTATTATATTCTTTGTGTGCCTGGACTTTGATTTTAAAAGTAGAGCTTAAATCATTTATTCTACTTTGGTTTTCTGTAGGAAGCAAAGAGATGGTTCGTGTGATGAGGAAGAAGGGCATTGAACACCATCCCAATTTTCGGGCAGTAAAGCATGTGCCATTTGACCAGTTCATTCAGCTAGTTGCTCACGCTGGTTGTATGATCGGTAACAGCAGTTGTGGTGTTAGAGAGGTGGGAGCATTTGGCACACCTGTCATCAACCTGGGGACACGTCAGACGGGAAGAGAAACAGGTACATGTTTGCTTAACTAGTGTTTTGTAATGCAGGACAGTGTATCAGAGATGTCACTGTTGCTTTAGTGGAAGCAAGGGGAGGCACAGAACTGATGAAGAGTGATGTCAATCTGATGGGCATCTTGCTCTCACAGAGGAAATAAAAACAATTATTTTTCCATTTCTAAAGCAGCTCATACTCTAATGCAATTTGAGCATCTGACCTGTCCTATTATGTTAATTTTTGTTGTCTAGGTGAAAATGTTCTTCATGTTCGTGATGCTGACACACAGGATAAGATTCTTCACGCTCTACAGCTGCAGTTTGGGAAGCAATATCCATGGTGAGTACACTCAATTCATTGAGTGGGATGTTAAAGCAGTAGAGTAAAATGCATTTAGTCCTAAGGTGTTTCATCGTATCTGATTGGAGTGCTTTTAATGCACTGATCTGAGGTTACAAACGATTTTTCATTTCAGAACCATAATGTGATGTCTGGTATGCAGTAGTATTTATAGCGCAAAATGTTACTAGTAATGTTTCAATACAAATAGTCATTTAACATCCAACAGAAAGTCAAGAAGACAAAATTCATATTAACCTAGACTAATGTGATTAAGAGAGCTTGTTCTTTAGGGGCTGCATGGGGAAGAACATCCTGTCTGCCTACTAAGGACACTTTTTTGTGTGGGTACAAATGATATTGAGAGCCAAAAAATGGCCAGGATCAAGAAAGACTGTAAAGCCCTGGTGAGGCACATGAAAAACATCTCTGCCCAAGTCACCTCCTCATGTATCCTCCTTGTTAGAGAAATCAGGACAGAGGCAGACAAATTGTGCAGATCAATGTTTGGGTTTGTGGCTGGTGCTGTCAAGAAGGTTATGGCTTTTATATAACAGTGAGTTGTGTTTTTGTGATTTTTTTTCCCCTGTGTGTTACAGGGGAATGGGATCCCCTGGCTAAAAAGGGCAGAAAGTCTTTGGCAGCGGGCTGGTGAGATGGACTTTAAACCGAAGGACTGGGAGTCAGGGTGCAAATGCCAACAATTGTGCCATTGCTTCCTCTTGGGGAGCAGGTCATAGCAACCACTGCAGAGTCAGGTGTTCCTTGGTTGCAGCTCAGGTTGTAGATCTGAAGATCTGTCTTGTTTTGAGGCAATTTAAAGAGATGGGCACTCAGAAATGAGTAACCACCCCCTTGATTCCAACCAATCCCTTTCCACCAATAAGGAACAACACACAAGTAGATGCAAGTGAAAAAATAGTGAAAAAATAACAGTTTATTAGCAAACACGATGCCAACAGGCTGGGGGTGGGAGGGGGGGAGGTGTGGGGGGAGAAGTGAATAACTGTTAGATACCAAGCTGCTAAATCTCACAACCCCACGGGAGCAAAGAGAGACCCAAAATGCCAGAAATAACTGATGTTCCTGTGTGATGCCTACCAGAGGCAGCTTTATGGCTGAAGGACAAAGAGAAAGTGCCATCTCAACCTTCCCTTCCAAGACGGTGCTTCCCAGGTGACCACACATTTGCAGGAACAAAGAGGCAAAATGGTGAGAATGCCCACTGGAAGGCAGGAGTCTGCAGAGCAGTTCTGAAGGCAGATGGAAACTTGCTGGTTCAAGTGGCTGCTGCCACTTCCTCCTGCTGTCCGTGGGCTCTGCCAGCGCTGCTGCTGTGCTCTGCACCATGGTTCTGGGATGGGCTGGTGTGGAAGGAGCAGTCCATCTACACTCGCACAGGGTGCCCAACCCCAGGAACTCACTGGCTTTTTTGCTGCCAGCAGACCTTGCAAAGTTCACTTTGAAATAGTTGAATAGCTGCAAAATGCCGTTATTAGAATGGCAAACCCAAGGCTGTGACAAAAGGGAGAGGCTCTACTCCCATAGAAGACTCCAGTCTTCTCTCATAGAGTGGCTCAGACTGAGGCGGGGCCAGCCCCTCCCTGCGGCAGCAGGAGGGCACATACGGACTTCGCCCCAAGAGAGCTCAGAAACACCAACTGGAGTCCCTCTGAGGCAAGGGAGAAGGGGGGGAAGTGAAAAGAGAACCCAAAAAGGGAAGGGGAAGAAAACTTCTGCCAAAGCAAAGATGAAACAGCCCTCAAAGCAAACACTACATAGCAAAAGGCAGGAAACTACCTGGGCAAGGTGATTTTAAAAATGGCTGCAGTCACCCCCTCACCTGCCACACACACACAAGGTGTGTGAAGAGACAGTAATGATTTTTTGGCACAGATAGATATGGAATACAGTGATATTATAGATCACTCTGGGACAGGATCATAGGGCAAAATACATCAAGGGTTTTTATGACTGTGGTGTTCATGACTCTCACAGCCCTTCGAGCATCCTGGTAGTTTGATCTTCTGTGAAGTGCCTGTATACCAATGCACACAGCAAGTGTTATAAACAAGGTAATCTAATAAACTAGAAATCTATGTGAGGTTGCAGAGCCATGATCTTACAGGAATTATGGCGACATACCTGGAATGGATGACTATAAATGTTGTCATGGATGGCTATATCTGGAGAGGACGGGTCAGAGAAGCAAGGTGGAGTTGCTCTTCATGTGAGAGCAATTGGATTGTATGAGGCTCTACTCATACAAGTTGAGTACAAGTTGAGAGTTTATGGATGAGAATTAAGCAACAGGCTAATATGGGTGACACTGCTGTGGGTATTTACCAGAGGCCACCTGATGAAGAGGAGGAAGTTGATGAGGTTTTTTTTGGGCAACTGAAATAGCGTTACAGGCCCTAGTTCTCCTGGCAGATTTGTGCCTGATATTTGTTAAGAGTGACAACACAACTTGGCTTCAGGAAGTTCCTGTAGATCAGTGAAAATAATTTAGATGCCGTGGTGGATGAGCCAGTGAGGAAAGGTGTGTTCTGGACCTTTTACTAACAAACCAAGAGGCAGTGGTTGAAGATGTGGAAGCTGGGGACAGCATTGGCTGCAGTGACCATTAGAAACTCAACTTGCATTGGGGAAGCAAAACAGCAAGCAGGATTAGAACCCTGAACTTGCAAAGAGCTAACTTTGACCTCTTCAGGGGCCTGTTTGGAGGAATCTGATGGGTTAGGACTCCAGATGAGTAGGGTGTCCGAAGAGCTGGTCAATATTGTAGCATTCACTTCCTCTAACTTCAAGACCAGTGCATCCCTATGATCCAGAGGGCTGGATCCCTAAATAGATGAGATTCTAGTAAAACTCAGAAGAAGGAAATTTATGGGATGTGAAAAAAGGGACAGGCCACATGGGAGGACTATAGGAACATTGTTAGAATATGCAGGGATGTGAGAAGGAAGGCCAAAGGCCACTTGTAATTCAGTCTGACATAGATAGAAATATAAAGGACAACAAGAAGGACTTCTACAAATTCATCAGCATCAACAGGAAGAATAGGGTCGATGTAGGGCTGCTGCTGAATCAGGTGGGTGTCTGGGTGTTGGAAGACAATGAGAAGGCAGAATTACTGAATGCCTTCTTTGCTTCAGTCTTTATTGTTCAGAACACCCCTCAGGAATCCCAGACCTCAGATAAGAGGAAAAGGTTGGAGAATGGAAGACTTGTTTGTAGAGGGTTGGGTTAGAGATGGGCTAGGCAGATTAAACACCCATAAATCTACAGGCCTGATGGAATGCACCTATGTGTGCTGAGGGAGCTAGCAGATGTTGCTAAGCCAGTCTCCATTATCTTTGAAAAAGCACAGAGTGGGAGAGATGCCTAATAACTGGAGGAAAGCCAATGATACTCTGATCTTCCAGAAGGGTAACAGAGAAGGTCTGGTGGGAGATGTGGTGGTTGGGGGCCATTTGGGATACAGTGATCACGAAATAATAGAATTCTCAATAATTGGTGAAACAGGGAGGGGCACCAACAAAACTTCCACACTGGACTTCCAGAGGGCAGACTTTGGCCTATTCAAGAAGGTGATTCAGAAGGATCCTTAGGAAGCTGCCCTTAAAAAAAAGGGGGTCCTGGAAGGATAGACATACTTAAAGTAATCTTGAAGGCACAGGAGCAGGCTGTCCCTATGTGCCAAAAAACGAGCTGTTGGAGAAGATGACTGGCCTGAAGGAAAAAAGAACTTCTGAAGGACTAAGGGAAAAAAGGATTATGGGAAAAGGGGCCAGTAATTCAGGAAATATTTAAGGATATGGCTAGGTCATGTAGGAAAAAAAAATCTAGGAAGGTAAAAGCCCAATTAAAGCTTTATCTGGCCATTTCTGTGAAGAATAATAAAAAATATTTTTATAAATACATTAATAGCAAAAGGAGAGGCAAGGATAATCTCTATTCTTTATTAGATGGAGAACAGAATTTAGTAACTAAAGATGATGAAAAGGTAGATATACTTAACACCTTCTTAGCCTCAGTTTTCAACAGAAAGACAGGTTGTCCTCAGGACAGCTGTCCTCGGGCTTGTAGATGGGGACAGGGAGCAGAATGTCCTCCCCTGTTATCCAGGAGGAGGCAGTCAGAGACCTGCTGAGACACTTAGATGCTCACAAGTCTATGGGCCCAGATGGGATCCATCCCAGGGAGATGAGGGAGCTGGCAGTTGAGCTTGCGAAACCGCTCTCCATCATTTTCCAGCAGTCCTGGCTCACTGGGGAGCTCCCAGATGAATGGAAGCTGGCCAGTGTGACACCCATCCACAAAAAGGGCAGGAAGGAAGATCCACCATCAGTAAGTTTGCAGATGACACCAAGCGGGGAGCGAGTATTGATCTCTTAGAGGGTAGGAGGGCTGTGCAGAGGGACCTGCATAGGCTGGATAGATGGCCCAAGTCCAACAATATGAGGTTTAACAAATCCAAGTCCCAGGTCCTAGACTTGAGTCACAACAACCCCCTGCAGCACCTCAGGCTGGGGCAGAGTGGCTGGACAGTGCCCAGGCAGAAAGGGACCTGGGGGTGCTGGTCAACAGGTGATTGAACATGAGCCAGCAGTGTGCCCAGGGCGCCAAGAAGGCCAATGGCATCCTGGCCTGGATCAGGAATAGTGTGGCCAGCAGGCCCAGGGAGGTCATCCTTCCCCTGGTGAGCACTGGTGAGGCCACACCTTGAGTGCTGTGTCCAATTCCTCAATTTAGGAAAGACGTAGAAATGTTTGAATTCATGAAGGGCAACAAGGTGTTGTTGCTGGTGAAGGGCCTGGAAAACAGATCCTGTGAGGTATGGCTGAGGCAGTTGGGGTTGTTTAGCCTGGAAAAAAGGAGGCTCGAGGAGACCTTATCACTGTGTACAAATCCCTGACAAGAGGCTGTAACCAGATGGAAGTTTAGGCTAGATATTAGAAAGGATTCTTCACAGAAAGAGTGGTTTGGCATTGGAATGGGTTACCCAGGGAGGTGGTTGAGTTGCTGTCCCTGGAGGTGTTTAAAAAAAGACTTTATGAGGCACTCAGTGCCATGGTTTAGCTGATAATGTTAGGTAACAGGTTGGACTCAATCATGTCAAAGGTCTTTTCCAGCCTAGTTTATTCTGTTATTCTGTTATTTGGGGTCTGGACATCTCTCTTATGAGAAGAATGTGGAAGCCTGTCCTCTCAAGACAAGACACAACTGAGAGGTGGGATCTCTTCAATACATAAAAATACCTCCAAGGTGGGTGCCCAGAGGATGGTGCCAGACTCTTCTCAGTGGTTCCCAGCAAAAGGACAAGGAGTAATGGGCATAAACCAAAACACAAGTTGCATCTCCACTTGAAGAAGAGCTTTACATTGAGGGTGGCAGACCACAGGCAAAGACTGCCCAGTTATGATGGGGAGTCTCCCTCCCTGGAGACAACAAAATTCCACCTGGATGAGTTCCTGTGTCACCTACTCAACGTGACCTGCCTTGGGAGGGATGTTGGCCTGGATGATCTCAAGAGGTCACTTCCAACTCAAGCTATTTTGTGCTTCTGTGACACAATACGCTGTAGCTGATTTGACCTCGTGATGCATAGAGTGCTAAGTGCAAGCTTCCAGGGAAGCTGCGGAATTCTGGCAAGGTGCTTTTTCTTATTCCTCAACCCTAATGAGTATTGACTCTCATTCCACTAACACCTAAGTTCTTATAAAGTTTGATAGATACTTGTTCAACTAAGGACAAGGATAAAAAGGATAAATTCTTACTTCTTAAGAATCTAAACTGAACAATAAAACTGAATTCTTTAATACCAAGTATCTGATGCCCTGTATGATATTTTAGAAACTGACATGTTGAAAATCTGTGCAATAAGTACATCTTATTTGGTTTGTAGCACATACGTAAACTGTCCATATTTTTATTTCTGCTTCATGATGTGGGTCCCTTCATTAAACTTAATTTTACAAGGGTTTTGGTATTATTAGTTTCCAGTTTTCTACATTGCAGTTTCATATTTCAAAATGGAGCTAATGCCAGACTTGAAAGATCTGTGTGTGTTCTTTAAACTACTGTCACTATGTACCATGTCTCGTGACAGTCTGTCATAGTGTGAGCTGCAGTATTGGCAGAGTAGCCAGATCATAATATTGTAGTGACACTGTTACACTCTTCTGTCATTCACAGAACTTTATCAATTCCAGTGTTATTTCCAATTGCATGAACTCTTTTTTGTTTTACAGCTCAAAAATATATGGAGATGGTAATGCTGTTCCAAGGATTTTGAAGTTCCTTAAATCTATTGACCTCAAAGAACCATTGCAAAAGAAATTCTGTTTTCCTCCTGTCAAAGATAATATCTCTCAAGATATTGACCATATTCTAGAGACACAGAGTGCTCTGGCAGTGGATCTAGGAGGAACAAATCTCCGAGTAGCAATCGTCAGTATGAAGGTAAATATTCTGTTGTGCTTCTAGATATTCTGCAAAGTCCACTGGGCTTTGTGGATATGGGCTTGTGATGCCAAAGAGCTCCAAAACAAAGCAGTCTATTGACTTTTGTTGAGGGACAAAGAAGATTTGTCACCTTCTTTCTTACCTCTCATACAGTCCTGGTACAACTTGCTTACTGCTTTGCTCTTGTAAGACTGATGTTAAACTAGCAATGCCCATTTGGTGGTGCAAGGTTTTAGCTGCTTCTTTGTAGGTTGACTACAGACTTTGAAGAATAGAACAGCTTTCACATGTGTTGGTTCTCCTTAAAAGGTGACTCGGTTCAACCTGCAAGTTTTTGTATGTCAAGCAAAATGTGGAGGGCTCCATTAGTAGATTTTTTGCTTCCTCACTGCCTTACACTTCCATGTAATTGACACACAAGAGCATTCTGAGCAACAACCAGCATCTAGCAAATCAATTTACTGAACTCTGCAGTACTTCAAAGATGTGAATAAAATTCATGATGAGAAGTCTTTCGTTTTTGTCCCCAATAGTATTGGACAATTATGCCTACAGTTACACTCCTCTAGATAACTGATCTAGTTATCTGCAGTTGTATTTGCAGATAACTACATCAGTTCAATAATAGTTGCCCAGAAAGCAGAATAAGATGCCTGAAGCATGAAGGGTTATGTAAAATGACCTGATATGGTCCAGAATTTTCACATTCATTTAAGAGATGTCTGGCAGCTCTTCAAGGTCTTGAAGACAGCTTTTAAAAGTGTAATATTTTTAGAAGCAAAATTGACACCACATTTTTCCTATGAGTCAACACAGACTGGAAAAAAATAATATGAAAAAATTCTGCCCGCTTCACAGAGCTCAAAGTGACATTTGTGAAAATTGAAATGCTAACAAATCAGAGTGAAAAGAATCAGAATTTCATAATAAACTTTACACAACAGACGAAAGCATTTAACAGCCAGTGGCAGAATATGAGATGTAATTTTATTTTCACAAAAAAAGGAGATTTAAAAATTCCTTTTAGAAGCTCTTATGTCTTCTGATAATATTTGCTTCAACCTTGTCTTCCAAAACAAGTTCTCTGATGTGCCCTCAAAACTAAAAGTGAAGAAACGAAGCATCCAAAATCCACGAACTCTACCACTCATGTGATACTGAGATGGTGGGACCCAGTACTCAAACCCATAATCAGTTTGGAATTTTCCAAGTTCTTTGGCAACAATGACTCAGCCACATTGCTTATAGGCTGTTTTTGTTACTCCTCTTTGCTGAGTTGCATTAATTCAGTGCAGTTCACTGAGATACACGGTGCAGGGGATTTAATAGTGAGAATAACACTTTTACACAGGATACCTTCAGCAGTCTCCTGACTTAATCCTGCAATGTGAACACTGAATTAAGATCAGTTCCTTAGCACACATAGATTCCAAGCGGGCATCATGAATACTTTCATTACAGAGCATGACTGGGGTTGAAATAATCTTCATGGCCCCTCCCCACCCTCTCCAAAGTATTTACAAGGGCACATAATGACAGGAAAAGGAGGAATGCCTTCAGCCTGAAAGAGGGTGGATTTACTTAGATATTAGGAAGAAATTATTTATTGTGAGGGTGGGGAGGCACTGGAACAGGTTGTCTAGAGGAGTCTGGGATGCACCATCCCTGGAAGTGCTCAAGGCCATGCTGGACTGAGCTCTGAGCAACCTGGTTTGGTTCAGTGTCCCTTCCCATGGTAGGGAGTTGGAACTGGATGATCTTTGAGGTCCCTTTGAACCCAAACTATTCTATGATGTATGACACTTGATGGTACTCCAGAGATATTGCAAGTGACTTTGAAGTGTAATTGCTTAGAAGATATTTCTGAAAGTATAGTCAATTTTACCTTGAAATTTCTAGCTTTTCTGTCTGTCTGATTCTGCTTTTTTTGGTGAAATGGCATTGTCTGTGACACCACAGAAACCTTTCATGCAGTCAGATTGGAAAGACTTTATTTTTAAAGCACTGTGGGTTTTCTGTAATTTTTACCATTTCTTACTCTATTTTTTTAACACTTCAATGTTAGGCCTAAGTACATTGCTTTGTCATGGTTTATGCCTAACAACAGTTCCAGCAGCTCTGGTGATACTTCCTCACATGAGCTATGTATTCCTTAAAATGTGTATTTAATTTCAGATGGGAGGTTGATTACAGAAGCAGAATGCAATGCCTGATCTTACTAATTTATCCCCAAGAGCTGTCAAGAATGTTGCCTGCAGGCCCAAAAACTAAAGTAGAGCATCTGTGGGTTTTTTTAAGAGATGAGTTATGGCTCTCTACTTTCAAAATGACCTGTAATTGACATGGAAGAGGAATTTCATCATGACATGCATTTCTCTGGGGTATGTTTTGTTGTTTTTAATTTCTAGGGTGAAATAGTTAAGAAGTATACCCAGCTGAACCCTAAAACCTATGAAGACAGACTAGCATTAATTCTAAAGATGTGTGTAGAGGCTGCATCAGAGGCAGTAAATGTAAACTGCAGAATTTTGGGAGTAGGTAAGTTAACAAATGCTTTTTACATCTATATTTTTCAACATGAAATTAAATCACTACTCATTAACTTAAAACACCTCTCTAAAATGGAACTCACGTACTTTAAGTTCTTACATATACTTAAAAAACAAACGTTTCTAAATGGCTGAAAATGAGAAGCTGACTATAAAGACTGAAGTTTCTACAGTTTGTAACAACCATTAAACAATCGGTTAAGTTATGGTAAACTATTTCTAAAATGTGTTTCTGTAGTACTCTGGATTTTGAAGCTCTCTGCTGTCTTGGCCTTGTGAATCAGACACTCAGTGTTTATCAAATCAGCTCTTTCCTGTCTGTAAGCCTTTCTTTAGGGCTAGGATCAGCTCTGCAGCAGAGTTTTCAGATACATCAAGGCAAACTAAAAAGGTTAGAATGTTAGGAGTAAATTTGTAGTTAACAGAGACAACAGCAGCCCTTCTGCTGACTTCCAGTTCACTTGCAGTACAGTTCTGTGTTAAACTGTGCTTATATCAGACAGGGCTTCTTCAGTTTAATGGTGACCAGGAAATCTGGCCTTAAATATTAGTTATTTATGAAGATGTTGATTGATGTGTCCTGGATTTTTAAGAAGGACATAGAATATTCATCTTAGCTGAGAAATGTTCCTAAAGAAAAGTAGTTTGTTCCAGATGAAAACTTACCTGAATCACTCACTACAAAGAAAAGTTAACTTGAACATGTGTTCTTTAAAAACAATGTTAAGTACACAAAGCCATAAGGAGTAAATGTTAGCCCTTCAAGTCTTTCTTATACCTTTAATGTTCAATTCACCTGCTTGTTTTGGAGCTTTTATGGCTGCTTTCCATTACAGCATTAACCCTGGAGCCATCTTCATATGTGACTCAGTTATATAAGCTCTGTACAAGAAAATGTTCAAACTTTATTGTCTAGAGCTAAATACTTTATTGTCTAGAGGTAATTATAGAGACTTGCTTTTCATTGGTCATGAGAGACTCCACCAACTCTGGAAGCTGCTCCAGCTAGGGAAAACTAGGTTGGCTAATAGAGCCTATTACTAGCCTACTCTGTTCAGTAGACAGATCTCTGGACACAGTTTTGATCCTTCACAAAAACAGTGTGTTTTTAATGAAAAATTACTACTCTAGGTCCAGTAATTATTTTTAGTCATTCTAAATCTTGAGAGTTACAGCAGACTTCTGGACACTAATAGTGTTCCAGGGTTTGAATAATTTATTTTTGCTGTTATGTCTTTTGTACACCACTAACAAGAAACAAAGCTCTTAAATGATTTGCTGCAATCTTGCCTGAAGTAGGAACATTAACTCTCTGGCTTAACACTAACCACTACCCATCTAGTTAGTCATAAGATACTTGGTGCATTGTGATTAGAGGTGTGGCATTCTATGAACTATCTTCTTTACTTTGAGGGTGACTGAGCACTGAAACACACCGCCTGGAGAGGTGGTGAAGTCATCTTCTGTGGAGATAAGCAAAACCCACACGGACAGAATCCTGTGCCACTTGCTGTAGGTGAACCTGCTTTGGCAGGGAGGTTGGACTAGAGAATCTCCAGCAGTACCTTTCAACCCGAACCATTCAATGATTTTGTGAGCTTTACATGTCAAAAGCTGAACTGCCAGTAATACTTCAAATATTTTTACTTTCATGCTCTGTTTCAAAGCCTAGTATTAGGGGAAAAAAATCTTGTCATTAGAGAAAGAAAAATAGATTTTTACTTAAAGTCTGTTACACAGACTCAGTTTTCATTTTTCTCTCCTGTATTTCTGGGACTTAGGTATTTCCACAGGTGGACGGGTAAACCCTCGAGAAGGAATTGTGCTTCACTCTACAAAACTCATTCAGGAGTGGAGCTCTGTGGATCTCAGAACTCCTATATCTGATGCTTTGCACCTGCCAGTCTGGGTGGACAATGATGGAAACTGTGCTGCTCTAGCAGAGAGGAAATTTGGTCATGGAAAAGGAATAGAAAATTTTGTAACACTGATTACTGGTACAGGTGGGTATCTATCTTGTAGTGCAATGACACCCAAAGTCCATTATGCCTGTAGAACACCTAGAGGCTCAGGTGTTCTATAGGCATAAACATTACCACTATGCCTGGAACACCAAAAATTACTCTGCTACACTATTTGTCTGGTTGAGGGTGCTTTTTAATTTGTTCAGGCAAATAAAACCACTTCCATAGTTTAGACTTTTTGATGAAAGAAGTTCTTCTGGTACTGCTACACAGGCAAGTAAGGAAAATCTGAGCAACTTCAACTGGAATAATTTTGCATTTTGCAGCTTTATAGCTTAATTCTCTTTCAACTTTAGAAATACAGAATATGTATCTAGAAGATAAGCAACTGAATATAAGAAAGTATGCTTAAATCTCAAATGCAAATGTGGAGTAACTTTTCTTTTGTTAAGAGAAAAGTATATATATTTGTTAAGTATATAGTTCTTTACATGGTGACAGTAAGAACTAGCTGATGAATCTACATCCAGTTTGGGAAGGGTGGCCTGTACATTTATCTGTCCTGGCCCTTTAACACATAAGCTTAACTGTCTAAATACAGCATTAGAACCTCTCTTCTGAATTGCAAAATTTTAAGGCCACTTGGATAGTTTTCTGCAAAAAGAGCAAGACTGACAAGCTTAAAAGATCTGTCATAGTTCAGTACCATCCATAGGTTTTAAAAAAAATACAAGTATTGTATACCATTTTGATCCATATATGAATAGGAGGGAGCTATGAGCTTGTGTATTAGTTGTGTCAAATCACTGAAGCAAATTACTTTATCTTGTCTGTATCAGAATAAGCAAGTGTCAGTGTCTTGTAGAACTGGGGCCTTTAAAAACTGTTGGGGAGCAGGGTGTGTTTGTCTTTTTTTTAAACAAATGAAGTCTTAATATCTTTGCAGGAATTGGAGGGGGAATCGTTCATCAACACGAATTGATCCATGGCAGTTCTTTCTGTGCTGCTGAGCTTGGGCACATTGTCGTGTCCTTAGATGGACCAGAGTGCCTGTGTGGCAGCCAAGGATGTATAGAAGCATATGCCTCGGGAATAGCGTTACAGAGAGAAGCCAAGAAACTGCATGATGGTATCTATTTACTCTGGGTTTGAAAACACAGTTACTAAACTGCAGTACAGGAAGACATTTTAAAAGGTGGTATTAATAAGAAATTAATCTGCCTTCTTTTTCTAGGAGGAGACAAGAATAGGTGCACAGGCAGTCTACATAATACAGATCTTTTTCAGTAGCAAGGAACATTTGGAACCACTGGTCTCAGAACTCGCAGAAGCACACAGTAGAGCTTGTCTTTTCTTTTTAAGCTTGCTGTAAACTAATCTGACAGGCGTTCTGTGACATTTGGTTTCATAGGTATTGTCTTTCAGCAAAACCTTCTAAGTCTTAAATAAGTTTGAGAATATTTATATTTTATTTATTTTTGGGTCCAACAGGACTAGTGAATTACCACACTCTTAACTGTTTGAGTTTGATTCCCTGCTTCTACAAGTAGTATATGAATAATACAGATATGATTATTTCAGTTAAACTCAGGGTTGAGCAGATTTTTGAGGATTCAGTATACAAGTAAAAGAGATGGAAAGATTTTTAAGTGCCTGTTTTTTCACCCTCTGATTTGCCACATTATCATGTTTTCCTCTCGGCTTCCTCTCATTTTCAGATGATCTGCTTTTAGTAGAAGGAATGTCAATGAAGGAGGAAGAGATTGTTAGTGCTGCACACCTAATTCAAGCAGCTAAACTTGGGAATACAAAAGCAGAGAGCATTCTCAGAACAGGTGAGAACGTAGCCCAGAGGGTGAAACATTTCCATGACTGTATTTTAGGGGATACAGAAATGGGAGTGCACTGTAACACTACAAGCAGCCTGTACATGTTGAGGCCCTCTCAATACAGAAATGACAAATGGTAATGAGATTTTGAATATAAATGTTGGAGAAAATGTCAGCATAAGTGTTAAAAGTATCTGATCCAGTAAAAATAAAAAAAAAAAATTAAAAGGCTCTGCAAAGGTCAGTTTAAAAAAGAAGTAAAGTCTCAACATTATCGTAATGGAAAAATCTGGGACATTTCATTGTAGGCAAGTGAATGGCTGGTCTGAGGTAGGAAAGGCAGTTTATGTTATGTGCTGCTTTACATAGTGGATTTTACTGATTTTCTAGTTTTAAGCATAGTCCTTCCTCATACATAGTGGTTAACACTAAGGTGGCAGAGTGATGCTTTCCTATTTTCTTCTTGCTTACAAGCATGTCTAATGCCTTGTTTTGTCTTTCCACATCCATAATGTTGAATAATGCATTATTGTGCAAAAAAAAACTTGTCTTTTTTTACTTTTGAAAGAAAATTTAATAGTAGACACATATTACCTGATAACATAAAACTCTGTGGAACAAAACACTTTACTGACTTTCCAGTGTTGTTTGCTGCTAACAGAACTGTTTCAACTACTAATGCCAGAATTGCTCTGAGTTTTCTACTCAATTTCTTTTTACTTCATCTTTCAGCTGGGACCGCATTGGGCCTTGGCGTTGTGAACATTCTACACACCGTGAACCCATCTCTTGTGATCCTTTCTGGAGTTCTAGCTAACCACTACGTTAATGCTGTCAAAGATGTGATAAATCGACAGGCGCTGTCTTCTGTTAAAACAGTGGATGTGGTGGTTTCAAATCTAGCAGATCCTGCTCTTCTTGGAGCTGCTAGCCTGGTACTGGATTATACTACCCGTAGAATATACTAAAAAATTACAGAAGAATTAGAGAATTGGACTATTCAAGTTCCTAATGGGTGGAGGGAATACTTTGCCCCAAACTTTTCTCTGATGGGAGCAGCTAATGAATCAAAGTAGTATTCTGAGTAGTTAGTGACTACTTTAGCATTTCCTAATTGAGGTATTATCTTTTTGTATTTTTCCTAAATTTCAGCTGACTTCACTGGAAGTAATGTGCAATTCTGGTTTTTTAAGCACCTCTGTTGTTAAGCCTATACATTACTTTTGAGTGTGGCTGAATTATTTATGAGCATCTCTTGCTGTATGGGGATAACATGTATGGTGTGTAAAATTATTATAACTCTTGGGGATCCATATCTCATTTCCCACTTACGTGAAATGAGACATTTACCAGCTTTTCAGTTTCCAGGATTCCACCCACAAAGTAAATATGATGTAATCATCAGTAGCAGGTAGTCATTTCAGTGGGTGGAAACAAGGCCCTCTAGAATTAAAAAAAAGGCCACACTTAAAAATTCCTTTTCATGAAGGACTTGGTAGAAGCAACCAAGTTTGTTTATTAAATCATCTCTAAAGGCCAGAGTCCCATTTTAGAAGCTTTGCATATGAAGGAGAAAAACTGCAGTTTAATGAGCTTACAGTCTGCAGAGGATTCCAAATAAACTGATAAGTAGTTGCAGTGAGCATCTTTGGCCAATAGTAAATTGTTTGAATTTTAATCTTGGGGGATTTCTCAAAAGACTTAATCTACTACTTTAAGTGAGGGGGGTTGCTTATTCTTTGGTAGCCAGTTAGCTGAAATTCAGCCACATGGCACAGCTCATCATAGAGAATCTGCCTTTCATTGCAGTGACATCTATCAGCTAATTCAGAACGATAGCTCTGGAGGAACAGTCACAAGACTTTCCTGTCCTGAATTTAATGACCTATTTTGACATCTTAACTACTGATACTCTCAGAAGCCCAGTAATATGTTAGTACAGGGGCTATTTCCACACTTGAACTTCTCCTCCAGTCAAAATGAAACAATCTTCTGCTATACAATGAACTTGGACTGAATAGCTCACTTGCTAATTCTGGGATATAATCTATACAGATTGTCTTTATTTCACCCTGTCTTCCACAAGGAATGCTTACTTAACTCACATATTCAGAGCAGATTTCAGGAACACTGCCAGATCTCCCTCCTGATGTCTCCAGAAACAATCATGCAGCCTCTATACCACTGGCAAATAACTGGTTCTTATCTGTTTGCCAAGTTATACTAGGCTTTGTGTAACCAAGGAGTTTTAGTTCCTTTGCCTACAAGTCTTGGTTTACTTGATGATTCCTATTACCTTAATTACCAGAGCATTAGCTCTTTGAGCAGTTCAGGGAGAAACTGGGATTTCTCTGCAGTGACAGTAGCTCAGATCAGGAGTACTGAGGTTCTGACAGTGAGGAGGCTTGTCATCTGATCTTTCCATCCTCTGCTATCACAAGGAATGCCTGGCTGGAATGCCTGGCTAAAAGTGGGTGGGACCAGGCTTTTGCTTTCCAGACCCTCTGAAGCTCTGTATATCTGGTATCTCAGACTCAAAATGTTTTCCCCTAGCAGCTGAAGGGAGAGTGCAGGCACAGAAAAAACACAACAGACTAAAACACAGTTGAAAAGTGTGTTATACCACTTTAACGTCATGTTAAGGAAACAATTCTTCAAATGCTTTTGAAAATGCTTTTTTTCTGTCAACTGGTCAAGAACTTGCTGTGTATGTACAAGCAGGTTATAAAATCAGAAATAATAAAAAATCATGCTTAATAGCATAATTAGTGGTTTTCTTTGTCTCTCCTTCTTTCCCTGTTCAGAGGCATCCTTTGAACTTCAGGTACTTTAACGTGGACCAAAGATTTTATGAATATTAGCCCCCTGTTGCATCCAGTCCCAGGAGCAAACATCAGATGTTCACAGAATATCTGCAGTGATGTGCTTACTTGATGCTGGCCCACTGTCCTTTAGAACAGCCCATACCATCAAGTTTAGTTATTCAGTATTTTGAATCTTTGATATGCCACTCAGTGACCTGGAAATAACAAATTCATTTGTTTTCTAGGTGGTCTTGCAGCACTGTCCTTCCTCCATTTAATTGTAACAAAACTGTCAAAAACTTGAATGTATTATTCAGGCAATGGCAATTTTGTATTAAAACACAACACAGAGTAAGGGGCAGACAGAATTTACACTTGGATTCAGAGAAAACTGATCACTGTGTCAATTTCAAATGCCATGGAGACACCACAGGCTTTAGTAAGTATAAAACACCTGGACTGTACACCCCTTGGAGCATTCCAGATAATTATATATGGATTAGAAGTAGTGCCACAGCACATGGTTCTGCAAAGGAACATGCCTGCATGACAAGTACTGCTGGAGGAATCCTCTTGGCAAAGACTATAGACCTATGTTGTCCATTCTGAAATACAAGCCAGTAATCTATGTTTGCCTCTTAACTGGTTGCTCAGAAAAAAAAAAGAAACATCAGCAAGATAACACCATGGTTTTTTTATGGCTGCTTAAAACTTAACCATGTTCCACAGACTAGAGGAGAATGCACAGTGCTGTTGTTTTCAGCCTCCCTGCTTTCCAATGAACCCATGACCTCTCCATCCCATTCTTCTTTACAAATGCTCATTGTAATTTCAGACTGCCTGGCTGCTGGCTACCACCTGATCAGAAGCTAAACAAAGCAAGTTCTATACCAGGATGTATTCAGCAAGAGTCCACAGCTTCCCTCTCAATACTGCATGAGATCTTCACGCGCATGCAGCTGGGATTATATCTGAAAGATAGGAAGCGTCCAAATATTTTGCCAGATTCCACTGACTAATGCTATGAAGATAAGCAGCAACAGTGGGAAGTTAAAGCCAGTAAACAGGAGGCCAGAAGTGTAGCACAAAACTGTCACAAGAAGTTACAAAACAAAGTGAGACACTGACCTCTGAAAAAAGTCAATGTTTAGAAACACAGACAAGGGAATTGATTTTCCCAAATAAACCTGAGAATTATTTTGCTCTGTCACACAATTCTCAGACACAGAAAATGTCCTGACTCCAGGAGTGCTATGTTTGGTTCTAAGTTTCCCAGTACACGAGAGAGATAAACACACCAGAGAGAGCTCAACAAAGAGCCACAAAGATTATAAAACAGCTACAGGTTTCTTCTGTGAGGAAGGGCCAAGAGCTGGAACTATTCAACCTGGAAATGAGAAGGCTTAGGGGAATCTTACCAGTGTATATGAATACCTGAAGCAAGAGTGCAAAGAAAATGGGCTTATTTCATTTGTGCCATGACAGGAGACACTGGGCACAGACTGAAACAAAGGAGGCTCCATCTGAACATCAGAAACACTTCTTTACTGTGCAGGTATCCAAGAACTGGCAAAGGTTGCCCAGACAGGAAGAAGAATTTCACTTCTTGGAGATTATGAGAAGCTGTCTGGATATGATCATGGGCAACAGGCTCAACGCGGTTCTGCTTGAGCAGAGGAGCTGAACCACATGACCTCTAGAGGTCCCTTCCAACCACAGCCAGTGTATGATTTTGTGACAGCACTGATAAAGGCCGCAGAGAGCTAGCATACTTGAGTGCAAAATTAAGGCAGGAGAGGTAATCTGCAAAATCTCTGCACCAGAGTTAGCAAAGGTAATCAGAACCCACAGAGCTGCATTTTAAGTGCTCCAGCAGGATAAAATATGTCAAAAATATGCAAACATATTCTTCACCTCTGCAAACCCAGTATATAAAATACTACTTTAACTTCTGTAACATTGCTTTGGCCTTGAATTCGAGTCTTTGCCCATTTTCCTGGATTGCAGCTCTAAGCCACATCCATAGCCAGATAAAATATTTTGTAAGACAAGAAAATGTAGTGGTCAATAAATACCATAATTCATTTTGCAGGAACACCTCTATCCTGTTGATCTCTCAAATTCGCTTAAATTTATATTAACTTTAAAGACTGTATATTTAATGTAGTGGACTTTTCTTTAATAAATTATGAGCTCATTTTGAACAGCTTTGTTTTCAGAGCTTTTGAGTGTGCAGCAAAAAGGAAATTTTCAGTCAAGGTGAATGCATAACTAGTCAAGGCTAGGAATGAGTATCAGTATTCTATGGACATCCTCTGTGCTTCAGTCCTGTTGGACTCACCTGCCATACCCTTGTGCAGTTCCGAAGAGATCTTCTTGCCTTAATCTTCCAGGGAATCAAGCTTTCAGACCAGTAACCTACTATCATTCTCATCACCACCCATCAGTAGTGTGTGAATACACTTGCAAACATGAGAGTAGGTCCAGTCGTTACAGACAACAGTAAGGTAGAGCTTAACTACTGCAGCCCAACTGGAAACCATTTATTGACTATCTTACCCACCAAAGGGACACAGTTGCTTGTAAGACAGCTGCTGTGCAGTAACATCCTGAGCCTTGGTCCATCGTAGTCTGCATCTGCCACCCTTTCCAAACTGTCTGGAGTAACCTTCCAGCTTGTAGATAAAAGGTATTAAAGCAATTTTGCTACAGACTAGTTAAGATACTGTGTCTTTGATAAACATGGTGGAATAACATAGGAGATTGAACAGATTACTTTTGGAAGATAGACAGCTAAGGTAAGGTTTAACAGAGCAAGGCTAGAATACAGCTCCTGTGACTGCTGGGTGAGCAAAGGAAGCAGAACAGAGATTTTCTGGATCAGTTTGTTTCAGATTCAACCACCTTGGCAGACAGAGCTCCATCCTACAGATGAGCAGCCGTAAGAGCAAGTCTTTCCTTCTCTTACTCTCCAGCTCTCCAGTTCACCACCCTAGCGGGAGGAAGTGTCTGCAAAAGTCACTGAGGACAGGCACACACAGTTCAAAAACATCCAAACAGCCTCTATACCACAGATCTTTGCTTATGAAGACAGCATTGAAAATCTAGCGGAACACAATAAGCAGTAGAATACCAAAGCTCTTAACTGTGCTGTGCCCTCTCCTCTGTGTTGAGCCTCAGACAGGCAGCCAGAGTGACAGCAGAAAATCATACAGAACTACTTACCTGCAGGAGGCAGTGTCCTCAGTCCCAGTGGAAGCAAGATAAGCCCCTTAATAAGCCTGCTGTTTAAGTTTTCTTGAGCTGCTGTCTAGTGTGATAAATTGGATAGGAGAGAAGTTTTTAAACTAAAGCTCTCAAGATCTTTAAGAAAGCTTAAAGAAACAAGGAGGACAGCCTTGCAGAGACCAGAAGCACTGCTGGCTGGACATTCCACCAGCAAGGTGAAATCACTAGCAATCAAAAGAAATGTTTACTCACACTTAATTCAAACACCCTCTGTCAAAAGGAAGTAGGAGACCTTCTCAATTCATCCAAAGATAACACATTTTGCCGTTTAACAGATCTTTAATATCAGTAATGTAGGAAGTGACACCTCAGTGCACAACAGCACAGAGACTACAGTTTTGGAGGTTCTCCCATTTCAGACACAGAAAGGAAACATCAGGAAGAACATGCAATCAAACGATGATCAGCTTTAGATACATCATGATGTGGTCCAAAAATACACATTGAAACAATTAATCAAATTACTGCAAACATAGCTTCTCTGAGTAAGGTTAAGATATTGCATTTGTAGTGTCTCCATCTCCAAAGTGTGACCTTTGTTTCAGCGAACCAGTGGAGCCTGCTTGAGCGAGATGAGGACTGAACGCATGCGGGACACATCTTTTGCCTGCTTACTAGACTTGGGATTAAAGTCACAGAGCTGAGCCACACGTTCCCACTCAGTGCCCGGAAAAACTTCTTCTGCATCATTCACAAAGGCTTCTTCAGCTGCCCTAAAAGCAATGCAATGCACCTTGTGTTAATGCCCAGCATATAAGGCACTCCTTCCCTCTTACAGGATGCAGTTTCTTTCAGCATGTTCCATAAGAAATGTGACCTGACAGCTGCTTGTGGACATTATGACCACATAAGCTCCCACTGCCCCAGTCCTGGAGATGAAAGTAGATTGCAGTAGTATGCTATGCACAAGCAGTGCAGAGGATCGCAGAGGATTGTGTAAAATGTTGGAATACAGGTGTTTGGTTTTAAGAATATTCATTGAGTCTTTGCCTAAGGAGTCGCCACACAAGGTTCCAGGAAGTAAGGTACTTCTATGTAGGCATTTTATTTGTGAAGAAATGCCCAGGTCTTAACCAGTTAAGCCTCCGCCGTTTGATGGCTTATACTGGTCATTTGCCAACTGGAAATTTACAACTGCCTGCAAGCATGTCTTAAACAAATTCCATTTGAGGATTTAAATCAGCCCCAAGGCCTACAGGCCATCATAAAACTATCTGCTGATGATTCCCAATGCTGTAGTGAAGCAGCATGAATCATAAGGAATTGAATTCAGGAATCCTATGCTTGTGAGTGCAATAGACTGCAGCATATCTTGGCAGAGGAGATGACTCGTGTGAGGTCACCTCACAACAAACAGATTTCCCCTGCTCTCACCCTAAGGAGACTCTAAGAAGGCTTTGTACATTATGTACTGAAGAGTGCCAGTGGCTTCCAGCTGTATTATTTTGGCTTTTCTATGCTTCCAATAGCATTGCTTCAATGCAGGGATAACACTTCAGCATCTAGTTTACATGAACTGTGGGCCCTGGTAGCTGCCTGAGTGCAGAAGCAGTAAGCATCAAGAGATCAAACCAAATCCATCTACTCCAACAAGCAGTACAGAGAAAGCAGTGGAAATGACTCTCCCATGAGGGTTCAGCACTATTCACAGGGATGATAAGATTACAGACACCACTGAAGACAAGGATCACTACAACACTGCTACTTTAATGTGACATGACACTTTTAAGGGGCAGTGAAGATTTTTTTACTTAACTGTTCTAGGCTGTAGCAAGGATGATTTATGTTTGTGCTTAAAGGTGAAGAGAAGAAAAGAAACAAGGAGAAAAAGTTTAAGTCAGATATAGAAAATGAGAATGAGTTTAATGCAGATGATTAGCTGGCTGAACATGCACTAGTAGCTTAGCCTACATTCAGGAAACAGGCAGCCAGTTTTATTATGCAGCACTTACACTGCACATTTGCATTGGACATATAACAATAAGAATTTTATTGAAAAAAATCTAACAAAACCAACTCCAGGAGATTTCAGAAAAGTTAAACACCACCTGTAAATCCATCATTTCACAAGTCTTGGTTTACATCCACCTACAGTCAGCTGTGAATTTCACACTAAACCTTCAGTAATAATGCACTCAAAGCCACAACACGGCTCACCAGTACACCTTCTAAAGGTGTCACCTTAGAATCTGTGACATGTCCATCTTTCAATTCAAGTCTACAAATTAAGGGAAGAAATTAAAATATATGAACAAGCCAATGAACATTGCAATCCTTCTACCCCTCAGAAACTAGCATACTCACTGGGGCTTGAAAGTCACAGCTCTGTTTTCACTGACCTATTAGGCTGCCAAAACATCTCACTGCTCCTAAATGTCTTCCCAGCAGTTTACAGTAATTTCAATGCCACCATCTTGTACTTTCCATCTGTTCTCTAATAGCCTCCTATTTCTACATGCATACACATTTTCTGCCCTGATTCATGTCAGGCAATTCCTTTCTGCCTTCCCTGGCTTTCTTGTGAACCTTTATGTGCAAGCATTGCTTGAATGTTTTTCTAATACGTAGGCAAAGCAGGTGGTCACTGCCTATTACAGAGTTAAATGCTGCTTCTCTGTGGAAGGACTAAATACAGCACCCATGTGAAACTACAGGCACTAACCCACATCCCCAGCAAAGCATCTTGCTGATGTTCACTGGCCTGGAAACAACTGTAAACCCTTAGGTCTAAAGAGTACTGAAGTTATTACCATAATTCCAGTGCTACATACATTACATGACTTAATCTGAAAGTGCTATCATTTGTGCAGTGCATACAGGAGAATTGCACTTAATACTGCAGACCAGAAGTGGTCCAAAAAGTAAATACTCAGAAGGCACCTTCAGACATTCAGCACTATTTCTGATCCTGCTTATTATCATGTTAACTAGCAAACAGAATTAGTAGTTAAGCAACATACACATAACCAATCACGTCAGCGAAGGGTTGTTTGTAGAAAGCTTCATCTGCCACCCTAGGTAGCAAGTAGTCCAACAGGCAGGCAAGCAGGCAGGAGAAAAGAGATAAGGATGAGAAGTACGGAACACAGCTGGAGGCAGTTTTAACATGCACATTAACCTTGCATCACCTAGACTTACTGTAACATGAAAGCAGTTACCACATGAAATGGATCAATTAAGCCATTGGTCAGAGGGGAACACAGAAATTCTTCTACATCCTGGAAGTTTGGATCAGCTAGCTGAGGCCTCAAGCCCCAGTGTTATCATTAGACTACTCCCAGAGGACAGAAACTACCATCAGGAAGATGAGAATGCCAAGCACTTCTGTGCAACACCTGTTTAACAAGCCCTGCTCCAAACTCCATGTCCTGCACTCAAACACTAGCCATAATAAAGCTTCCATCAACTCTGGCCACCAACTGGGACAGTACTAATCCTGTTTCCCTTTCTTCGCTCAACCAAAAGATAGTGAATTCCTCAGTGAATGTTAAGGAAGTGGCAAATCCATAATTCTGAAGGCAGTGTAGGCCTCCTTTCTTTCTCTACAAAGGAGTCTACCTAGGACTTTATTTATTAAAGACAAACCTGACAGCCATTTTGATAAGAAAAGCGGTATTTCAAAAAAACTAACAAAAAAACAACAACAAAATGAACAAAACAGCAGTTCATCTTGAACCCTTTGAGCTCCCAAAATATAAAGCAGTCTTGACGATTACTTGCATAGAATGAAGTAGAGATTTAAGAGGCATTAAGTCAGTCCTATCACTTCTACTTTAATGCAGCCTGAAGTCAAAATTCCACATGGAACTTCTAAGAAAGTGTAAGAGTTTACTATTCCAGCAACCAAGTCATCACTTTCTACCACAGGACCCATAACCAGACAATTCAAACCACTACAGATACAGTCAGAATTTAGTTTTTCACTAGCAGAACTGAGTCATGTTATTTCTGAACTGCTTCCAAAAAGAGCAGCAGAAGATTTTAAGATATTTAATGAAATTACTTGTAGCAAAGATTAACTAGAATGCCACTTCCATACGTTCTAAAGTAATCAAGTAAGAATGCTAGTCTCAGGGTAGGTAACTGCAGACACTGAAGGCCTGTGCATCTGGGAGCATGACAACAAGTGGGTAGAGTAAAATATTTTCTGGCCATGTTCAAGCTTTGTGTGCTAAGGAGTCCTCAGTAATACTTCAACATCATCTTAATGCTTCCTGGATATTTAATCTAGATGATCTAAGAAAACTTAAAAAGGTAGGTAGTAGGAGTGTTTGCTTTAATGATCTGAAGGACTATTGCCTTAGGACATAGAAGTATTCTCACCTCCCTTCCCAATTATTTTCATAACTAGAACCATAACTCTCCTGATGGCTGGAAAAACTTTACCTGTTACTGGCTTTTGTTTTCTCGAGTTTTTCATCTTGCCTTGCATACCACTCTTCCAATTCTTTTATTGCTTTCTCTTTCCATTCTGCTTCCTGCTTTCGTGAGTTTGCATCTGAAGATTTAAGAATTGCTTTGTCAGTCATGTTTGTATTCAAATGCATCTTGCACACATTTCAACTGATAGTTCAGGCTGCACTCTAGTGCAGACAGTTGCTTCATCAGGTAAGGTTAGGAGATTTCCTGATTAGACTTAGGAGAACTCTAAATACTACAAACATTCAGAGGATTAGCTGAACAGAACTCCTGTGCTGCATAACTGGGACAGTCCACTTCAGTTTCGGATAGGCATTTTGCAGAGTAGTTCAGATTCAGTAAATCTATTGGTCTGCAAACTGCTCAAACCAGTCATCTCGTTATGCCAGTGCTAGAACAAAGTTTAGGAAAGCCTCTATGCTTAGACAAAGTGAAAGAACCTGGTACTCCACATACTTTTACACACAGCCTACAGTTCAGGACAACCTCACCTGCTGTAACTAGTACAGAAGAGGAGTAAAACGGTCAGTTCTATCCAGAATTACATTTTACAGAACAGTTCTGTCCTAACAATTTCAAACAAAGGCTCCTCCACCATATAAGTGGGAAGCACACCAGTTTGTAGTCTCTTAGACACTGTCCATGGGTAAGTACCACTGCATTTGATAGCTGTATTTAGTTTAGTTAATAATCCATTATTTTCTTTATTTAGTTATTAGATTAAGATCCATGTGACAACAGGCGGCCTCAGCAATTACAAAATGAATAATCTTTATCCTTTGAAATACTAATGACTGCAGTATTTATTTATTTATAGAATTTATTTATTTATTAAATAAATAAATTTATTTATTTAAAAGCTTACAAAAGCTTTTCATTTTCTGTCAGGTCATCTAAGTAAAGGTTTTACCTAGGAAAAGGTTCAGAGAGCCACTTCCTTGCTGACTCCCACACCAGTCTTAAGTCTCCTTACTAGAAGACTCATCCAAGCTAGTTCCTTGAACTCAGGAAGTATATTAAGACTCTGAAAAGGCAGTGCCATGGTTCAGAATTGTACTGCTTAAGAATCACAGAATGGCTTGAGTTGGAAGAGGCCTTTAAGATCACCTAGTTCCACCTCCTCTGCTGTGGACAGAGACATCTTCCATTAGACTGCTCAAAAACCCCATTCAGCCTGGGATGGGGCATTCACAGCTTCTCTGGGCAGCCTGTGCCAGTGCCTCACCACCCTTACTATAAAGAATTTTTTCCTTATGACTAATCCAAATTGACCCTCTTTCTGTTTAAAGCCATCACCCCTTGCAAACTACACAACACACCCTTCTAAAAATTCCCCCTTCAATTCTTCTGTAGGTCCCCTTCAGGTACTGGAAGGCTGCTCTAAGGTCACCCCAGAGCCTACTCTTCTCCAGGTAGAACACCCCCACCTCTCTCAGTCTGAGAGAAGCTGACAATAGGTTACTCAACAAATACCATGCTTACCAAGTTGCTCCAAGCGCTCCTTTTGCTCCTCTCTCCACTTACGAATACTTTCTGGTTCTGACTGCAGTCGATCTACTTGGGAGATGGCAGCATAGCAGTCTGTGGGACCATTACTCTCCTCGGAGGAAAGGAACAGTAAAGTCATTTTTGCAGTACAAGTGATTTCAGATAACTGCCTGCCAGCTATATAAAATTAGACTCTATTTGAACTGAGCCAATAACACATTTCCACCATTAAAAACATCTTGCTACAAATTACAAAAGAATCAAAGGAAATTAACACAGGGTTTACTCCAGAAATCAGGTATCAAAAAAAAATTCGAGACAACTGGAAATACAAGTGCCACAAACACTTAGTGCCAGAGCACTAAGCCTGCAGAACGCAGAAGACAATGCCTAGCACCTCAGTACAGAGTTGTAGGCCAGATATTCTCTGAGTTCATCTCACCTTAAATATCTGCTATGAAATACTTTTCTTTATGTTTTTGTGCACAGGAGTACAAAACATTCTTTGCATGTTTTGTCTACTTCAAGAGACACTTGCATACCACATTACAAAATTTGGATTGCTGTATGCAGCTTATAACACAAGAGGCATTTCAATATTTAATCATCAGAACAGTGAGAGTACTAGCATCCTTTTCACAATGTAACATCTCAAAGACTTGAAATGAATAGGGCTAACATTAACACACCAGATTTAAAAGCTAATGAATACTGTGGTACTTGCTACAGAAGATACTCTAAGTTTAACAACTTTTATTGCTCCATCCTATCCCTAACAGAGTTAAGAAATACCACTCCTAAGAGTACCAGGTCGATTGCAGCTGACCACACATTTGGCTGTATCTTGCCCCTCTCTGGCCACCCCGTAGCCCTCAGTGAAGGAACAATGCAAAGAGAAGATGCTAGGCTGGTGCAACACCACCAGGCTTCACATTTCATCCAAAGCAAAATCACGTGGCCAGCTGCAGGGCCAGCTAGTTACAGGGAGCTAAAACCTAAGTTATGTACAGCCCATCCAGTGTCTTCTTTCTGATTAAGAGAAAGCTCCATCAACCAAAGCAACTGATTTCTCAGAATTCTAAATACAAAATCAAGATATCTAAAGAGGGAAATCCACCTTCTGTTGTTCAAGGAAGTGCAAAGGGCCTGTAAAATACAGGTTGTCCCATCAATCTCACAGTAATGCTGAGGATATAAGAATGCCAGCAGCAGTGAAAGCTGTTTGTGTCTCCACAAAGTTCAGCATTCACTCAAAACTCTAAGGAGAAGCACATGGCTCACGTGTTGCTTCCTTCCCAAGCATTCATTTAATCAGGCTAACAAGCCAACTGTGACACCACGCAATGACCATACTGTGGACAAACTGATGTGAAATTCAGTTACAACAAAGTGATTGCCTTAGTGTGCCTCATTGCTCCCTGACACCAATAAAGCAGGTATCTCCTCCTTTTGTCATTACCATGGCTGTCTAACATGATTTCATACTGTGATTGAGCTCATACTGTGATTTTTAGCCATCAGCTTAATTTCATACATCTTCAAGTCACTAAGAAATGTATGATGTTTTCAATCCGTTACTTGTAAGACTATCTTGATAAAGACTATCTTTAAAGAGCAAGCAAATCCGAAAACTCTTGTTTAAACTAGGTAATCAGAGCACGCTTTCAGCTTAGCAGCCAGTGCAAGTCAATGTAAAGTTGTATCACAGAGCCTAACAGTCTGCTTTACAGTGCTTATCTATTGTTAAGCCACATTTCAAAATGAACTGCTGCTTTAAGTGGCCTCTAAGTTCAGAAGATGGGCATAATTAAGAAGACTGACAACTCCATGAGATGAGCTACCAGTGCAGAACACCCTCCTCAGATATGAGACAAAATTACTTTAAAGACAAGAAACAGGAAGTATTAGTCTATATTAAGGCAAAGTTCTCAGAGTAGAACAGCACATTCTAAGTACAGAATACTTCTATCTTACCTGACAGTCATGCCCGTTAACCACTCCAACATCGGCATCTGTAAAGAGATGACTTGTTTAGTCATTTGAGAAAGGTAGAACAGCCAGATTTACTGATTGCTGTAATTTGTATGGAAAGCTTTATTAAAGTAGGTAACGTGGGAACTGTGAAAGTGAATGTTACTTGATACTCTGCAGGGACACTTCCTTCCCCCTACACTTTTCCGGACAGGCATGAAAAACCAAGTGAGCCACCATTCTGCAGAACCAGAAATACAAAGTCATTTCTTCACCATGAGATCCTGCTTTTAACAACACAAAGAGCAGAGCTGATACTGCTGAGGAGCAGCTACAGACTGTGTTCTAAAGCTACTCCCACTCAGTCCTCCCTCTCTTAGAAGCTGACTACTATACAACTGCTCTGAAGTTAAGAAGGATGACTATCAGTTTTTTAGTGTCTACCTGGAAGATTAACAATGCTGCAGCCAACAACTGGTAATTCTTATCCTATTGTTGTTATCTCCTAATTAGCTCAAAGATACAGCTAACATTCCTAGCAAAGTCACCTTTCTGCTACCATCTGTGATGACATGCTTGATAGCTCCCACTTCAACTGCAGCATTATTATCTCTGAAGTGACAGTGGCCATTCAGCCATAGGGAACGAATACCAGTTGTGAGTCAAACTTTTAAGTTTTTGAAATTATTTACATCTCTGGACTATGCAAAATACACCAAGATTTTTAGGAACCGCTAAATTTCAGCAGGGCATCTCTCTGGAGCAGTGCCACCTAACATCTGTCTGTGTGCTATACCAAGTACTCATGTTACTCATACCACCATGGGTACCACACAAAAGAGTGTCCACCACAATACACCCCTCAGTGAAAGTGACTGTACCAAACAGTAAGCAGAAAAATCATTTTATTTTGCACCACCTTCTTAAAAACAGACAGCTGACTGACCTAAAACTAAGCAAGTTATGCTGCTGTATCCTCTTGTTTCTGGCTAAATATGCACCATAATTTCATAATTCTAGTGAATGGCACACAGGAAGTTCTTCATACTCCTTTATCAGTGAACTAGGCAAGTGTTTTAAATATGTATCTCGGAGCTCTGAAGAGCAATCATTAACTGTGTTATGTAGAGGACTGTAAATTCACCAGTTCAAGAATGGCAGTTAAGTTGGAGAATACTAGTCCCCAAGAACACAGCTACTAACTTTCGCAGGGGAAGACTCAAATTAAGAAAAAATAGCTTTTCAGTTAGGAGAAACTGGTATTTCATAACTAGACTCCCGTAACTGAGAGATAGTTGCTACTTTGTCAGATTCCTACTCCTCTGCAAAGCACAAGAGACCTTTAAAAAGACTAAAGTCACCAGCTGGGTGAGAGGGCTCATAAATCTTGAGGATACTTCCAAGGACAGTGATGATATGTTTTTCTTGTCACACCAAAAAACATTAATTACGGTTTTCACTACTCAGGCTGTCAGGTAAAAGGAACAACATCACTGTTTATGGCTGTACCTGAAATGAAACACACAGCTTTGTCTAAGGGCCATTTTTGTTCTGCATAGAAACAGCCACCAACAGACACTGAACTGTTTCCAGAGGGCACCCAGGTTAGAAGCATTAGCAGTGTTAGAGCAAATTTCCCATCTGTTCTGAGCTCCCTAGAACTTGCAATTAAGCTGCAGAGTCAGCATGCTGACTGAGCTTATCACAGGCAGAAGAGGAAACAGAACTGCACCAGCATGCTGTCGTAAGCCAATACAATTGTGCTAACTGGAACAAGACCAATAGTCAAACATTCCTTCACTTCAGCTCTCCAGTCTTCATGCTTGTATAATTAAGTATGAAGTATAGAAAAACTGTCTGTCTGCCAGCCTTCATATCAGTAATCAACGCTAGCCGTGTATCAGATGTTTCTGTTCACAGAAACATGCAATTTCATAAGCTTCCCACAGAAAAAGTCTAAATACTGCTAGTGCCATCATAACATTTTCAGCAGCCATGAACAACGAGACTCCTCTACTGCCTTCAGAGTCCATCCAATTCTATCATAGTACCGTATCTCCTGAAGTTAAAATCCACACATTTAGGACCATCTCAGTTAGCAATGATCCACACTCCTTGTTGATTGCTTTTGAACTGAAGATAAACTCTTATTTTTAAGGGCACTGTTGCAATGAACACATATAAAAATCTACAGTTCTGCAATACATCCTGACAATATGGTAATAATGAACATTCATACAGCAACACAGATACCTTTTAGAGTCTGGAAGAGTCTGGAGAGGATAAGTCATATCAGCTGCCTTGCATTCACAGCAGATACAACACCCAAGCTTACACCAGAAATAGAAAGCAAGCATTAATGCCCTCCACATCTACTACAGCTTACAAAAGAAAAGGCTGGGTAGTTTGAAGATAAATACAAAAACCATTTTGTCACTTCAGTCCTAGAATTCAATATATGGCCTCAGACATTTATCACTATGATGATCAACTATTCTGAAGGCTGCTACTATAATTATTAGGATTCAGTATCACTTGGCTTAAAAGAAAGTCAGTTTAGCCTTGTTTACCAGCCTCTCTATAGTCTCAATGCAAAAGAAGACTGTTACCTGAAACATCAGAAGCAGGGCTTTGCAGTACACTGAAACATTTTTCTTATACTCTTTTAAAATAGAAGTATTTTTTACAAGTTACCTTCAGCATCTCTTTTAAACAATAAGTATTCAAAGTGCTGCTACTTTCAATTAGTTAGCAGCTCTAGTTAAAGCAACAGAAGAACATAAACTTTAATATATTCTGACATAAGGTTAAGTAACTTCACCACTCCAGGTCTAGTTTACCATCCTTTCTCTTTCAGGCACAGTCATGCTTTCCTTCTACCTACCTCAAACCCATAACATGATAAGAAAGAAGAATTTTGTACAAAACTTTTGATTACATAGTTATGCAAAAATCTGGGGAAGAAATTATTTTTCTAGCCATAATTCATTCTCATGCCTATGCGCAAAATAAAGGCAAGCAGTTCAGGAAGAGTGCTTCTTTCCAGTGTTTTAGTTTAATCTGCTGTCCTATCAAAACCTATGACTTCTCTCATTTTCAATATAATCAATAGGCTAGAATTAAAATACACCTGCAATAACACTGTGCCATAACAGCTTCTATAATTTTCCAATGCAACAGCTTCTGTAATTTCCCCCTTCTCTACATTTCCACTAGTATTCTCTTGGAAAAAAAAAAAAAAATTCTGTCCTGACTTCATAATAATGCAGCATCACTAACACAAGCTAGACAGATACCATTCTTTATCATACCTCTATCAGTGCTGTCTTATGGGGCTCTGAAGCCTCAGATGCTGATTGCATAGCAAAACCCAGTTCAATGGTTGTCCAAACAATTAAGAAAAAAATCAACAGTCAAAGACAAGAACTCTTTCTGTCTGTGGTGCTAAGTACAGAGACAGGAGGAATTAATTTTTTCCTAAACAATTTTGAAGCAAACTGATACTCAGTTCCTGAAAGGCTATTAAATGAAATACCTAGACAAACCACCAGACACAATTAATTTTCTTAATTGCTACAGACACATGAACATCTTTCAAAGATAGGGAAACATAATTCAGTCAAGTTTATATAAAACTTACAGAGCATGAAAATCTATAAGCAATGTTTGAGACAAGTCAGCCTACATTAAACTTGTGCATTTGCATGATTGTTAACATATATAACTGCTTGTCTTTGAATGAAATTCCCTGTAAGAAGCTACTTGACAAACTGCCACAATGGTTTGTATTGGCATACAGGATCTAGAAACCACACATTTCCCCTTGAACTCTTCCTCTCTTGCTCAGAGACCATAGTAAGTGAACCAATACAACCTCAAGACACACTACTGTCAGAATCTCACTGCAAATACATGGACATTGATTCATCACTGAAAAAGAAATGTCCTAAGACATCACGTTACCCATACCTCGGCAACAGCATTGTATTACTTGATTTATACAGTACTCTCTGCTTTCTGGAGCAGGGATTATGCTTCACCTTCCAAGTGAAATAAGATTAGGTTTTTGCAAGCTCAGGCAGCTTGAATGGCATAGCTATTTACATAATGAATGGCCTACTGGATCAGGCCTGGATCAGCATTCCAACCCTGATCCTGGCAAAATGCAATGATGCTGTGTGACACGCACAAGCCTGGCAACATTCCACCATCCCCCTCATATTCACCCAGTATCCACCATTACAACAATTAACAGAATTCCCAATATTGATATTTTCAATTCATGAAGTTCACTTCTATCCATGTATTTGTCTAATCATTTACCAAGAGACTGAAATTGAAAGACTGTTTGTTGATGAGAAACTATGATTCTTACAAGTGTATTTCAAGAAGCTGATGACTACTTGTGACTACATCTGAAGTTAAGATCTCCAAACTCCAGTTGAGAGCTGCCCAAGTATTTTTGGCCGAGTATTTAGAAAGACCTTATCCAACAGACCTGTAAATAAGGAGTTCAAGAAAGGTTATGGTTAAAAAAAGTAAATCCACAAATCCCTGGTCATTATGCTTAAGGATTTACATAAGAACTTGCACTGTTTCAAGAAGAAATTTGCATTCACCTATTCAATTACAGAAGAGTTTAATGAGCTAACATGCCAGAGACCACAACTGTCTGATATTTATTAAGGTACTGATCAGATGATAAGAAATGTAACACAAGTGAAACAGAAGTCATTAGATCATTTGTCACCATGCCTGAACCAGTACATTTTGCATGGCTGAAGCCTGTGCTTTTTAACATAGAGAGAGAGTGTACAGGCTCTGTCAGACAACAAAGATCAATGTTCTGTTAAAAAACAGGGTCACCACAAGTCCACAAGCATCATCTACCACACCTATTTAACAGGCCAGAGCATAAATGCAATCAAAGGGGGCATAAAAGAAAGCAAGATGGCATACAGTTCCTGGCCTAGAGCTCCCAGATCCTTGGATCATATTATATTTATTATTTTATTAACTTCTTCCTAAAGTTCTCCAATAACCCTTTTGCACTTCGTGACAAGTAAACTTACATGACTTGAGAAAAGGTGTTTGAAAGGCAGTTTAAGAACTACTTCGAAATATCAAACCAATCTAGAAGCATTGAACAAATAAACTTTTTGACAAGAAAACACTTTGCAATAGTCATCACTACATGTATGCAGAGAACATACTCTTCTAGCTGCTCTAGTCCATTGTGGAAAGATCAATGATAGATTTTTTTTTCCCCCAACTAAATTAGTTTTCAAATAGCCGCTTTAATGCTCCAGAGTCTGTTTGGAACATAAAGCCCATGCAAGGCATGATGTTTGTCTAAGGCTTCTGAAAGTAAGAAGGGAAGTGACCATTGTGTCTGTTTCTGCACTATATGTAGAATACGGAAGTAAAATTATGTATGGTACCAAAACAGGATGGTGTTCTGATAACAATTATCCTCAAGTTCTTGTGCTGGAGTAAATACGGTTTTTTTTCAGGAGTATGCAATGCATACGTTTTTGACCTTATGAGTGAGCTGATGTTAAGGGCAGTGTTACCTCTAAATAAGCTGGAAGGTCTCCATTACCCAGTTTATCTAGACCAACTTTACTGACAGAGACACTACAAACCTGCCCCCTCATACATAAAATACTTCAGTAATTTCTGATATCAGGTTGCAAAATGAAGACTTAATTCTAAAGATGTTCCAACAACGAACTGGGGAGCAGTTATTCAGCTCAGTCTGATGGAGAGTGGCATCCTACTGCAGTGATAAAGGGATGTCACATGAGAGCAAGTATGTATGTCCCTGTGGCCCTGGTGACAAGTAGAAGCAAAGTCTTCTGAGAGTGTTGCAACATCAACCCCTTTCCACTCAGGCTTCAGTTAAAACTTTTTATAAGGAGAAGTGTTTATTTTGGGCTGCTTTAGCCACCATTAGACCACAACCCACACTTATCAACACACAGTTCCCACCCTGCTCCAAACGCGTGTTCTGCAGTGTCGGGTTTGCTACATTCAGTACAAAGGTTACCAAGGAACAAAGGCTAAAGGTTTAGTAAAATTAAACATTAGCTTAACTGCTCTTATGCTTTAAGACTAAGATCACTCCCGCTGAAGACAGAAACTCAATTGGCGGATTTACTCAGCTTTCAGAAGCCTTCCTTCAGACAGGCTCCTGGATTAGACGAGATCAGCACCGCTCGCATTAGGACTCGGGCACGCCTTAGGCACCTTCAGGGGATACAAGCCATAACCGAGGGAGCAGGGAGGTAGCTCGCCCTGCAGCACAGCGCACCCAGGACGGCCCCGACCCACCCCCGGAACCCCACGGGCAGCGGGCCCCGCCCGGGGCAGAGCGCCGGGGCGAGGGTCCCGCCGGCACCGCCCCCGCCCGGCCGCGCCGCACCGCTCCGAGGGACAAGGGGACCCGGGACCCCTCAGCCCCACCGCCGTCCCCGCAGGGCGTACCCATGCCGAGGCCCTCGGGATCCTGCAGCTCCTCGGGCACCTCGCCGTTCTCCAGGATGCCGTGGCCCTCGTCGTTCTCGATGCCCGCGATCTCGTTCTCCTGCTGCGCCAGGAAAGCTGCGGCGGGATCCTCCTCGCCACCGTCGGGCATGCCGTTCCCGGCGGGCGGCTGCTGCGGCTGCTGGGCACCGAAGAACTCCATATCGGCCATGGGTGAAGGCGGGCAGGCAGCTGCGGCTCCGCACCGCGCCTACGCCGGGTAGCAGCGCGGAAAGGGCAGAGCCGCTCCCCCTGCACCAATGAGCGGCGAGCACCGCCGGCTTTGCCCAATCAGCTAGCGGCCGTGGCGGGGACTGCGGAACGCGAGCCAATCAGTGCCCAGAGAGCAGCGGGCGGGGCGGAGCGCGGCCCCGGTCCCCGGAGAGCCGGGTGGCACCAGCGGGCTGCGCTCCATCGGGATCCGCTCCATCGGAATCCGCTCCTTCGGAATCCGCTCCTTCGGGCTGTAGCGGAATCGAGGTGGCTTCTGCCAGCCTGCCAAAGCACAGGCGCTCCGCTGGGACAAGACACGGGTTCGTCGGCAACTTGGAGATAAGTTCGAACCTGCAGAATACATCCAAAACATCGGTTGTGTCAAAACATCTCTCGTGATTTTGGGTGTCTTCTGTCTGACGTAGGCAAGCTTAAGTCACAGAAACACAGAAGGTGTTGGTAGGGACCACAGTGGGTCATCTGGTTCAACCTCCCAGCTTAAGCAGGGTCATCCCAGAGCATTTGGCATGGAATTGTGTCTATATGGTTCTTTAATATCTCCAGTACGGGAGACTTCACATCCTCTCTGGACAATCTGTTCCAATACTCAGTCACCCACACAGTAAAGCTCTTTCTCATGTTCAAGTGAAATCTACTGTGCATCAGTTTTTGACAGTTGTCTCGTGTCCTAATGGTTGGCACCACCAAGAAGAGCCTGGCTCTGTGCTCTTGACACCCCTGCCTTTAGACATTTATAGACATTGATGAGGTCAAACCAGTGTAAATTTGGGAAGCTACTGACAAAATGTTCAGAAGGGCAGTGATTTCTAATACAATTTTTTTTACAGATAATTTGACCATGTTCCTGTGTCTGGCTTATAACAGATGGAATCATAAAATTGTAGAATGTTAAGGGATTAGAATGGACTAAAATATCATCTAGTCCCCACTCCTGCTGCCTTGAGTAGGGACAGCTTCCTCTAGAGCAACTTAAAGAATTTCTGCCTAATATCTAACCTAAATTTCCCCTGTTTCAGTTTGTGCCCATTACCCCTTGCCCTGTCACTGCAGTTCCTGACATTGACTCCCTCTCCAATTTCCCTGTAGTGCCCTTCAGGTAGTGGGAGGTTGCACAACCTTCCTTCTCCAGGATGAACAGACCCAGCTTCCTCAGTCTGTCTTTGTAGGGGTGGTGCTCCAGTCCTCTTACCAACACCGTGGCCTCCTCTGGACTTTCTCCAGCAGTTCCATGGCCTTTTTATGCTGAGGGCATTGGAACTGTATGCAGTAGTCCAGGTGGGGTCTCATATGAGCAGAGAGTGGGACAATCATCTCCTCTGACCTGCTGGCCATGTATGTAGTTTATTGGCATAGCAGAGAGGAAGGGGAAAATACTTCTGTAAGAAAGGAGAAAATGACGCTGGCAGCCCTCAAGCCCTCAAGGTGCAGTTGCTGCAAGAGGTATTTGTTTAATTCCACTTACATGTTGCCTATAAGTCTGTGTGCACATTTCATTAAATATTAGAGGTAATGCCATCCAAGCGTATGTTATAGTGCCAAACGTGTTCAGACGTATTTCAGAAGGAGAACAAATTCAAAAAATTTAAACTTTAAACTGTCTGAAAGACAGTGGTTTCCCATGAGAATTTAGTGGGAGAGATAAACCACATGCTCAGTTACACTTTTTCCTCCCATCAATATCAATTGCTAGAGAAAAAAAGCACAAGTAAATTCTTGTAGTATGACAGAGAGCTCCCTTCACCTAATTTAGTAAAATAAAAGATGTGCCTAGTTTTTCCTTTGAAAACTCAGAATCTGGTATGACAGGAGGCTAGACTTTCCTGAATTTCATCTCTCATAGAAAAACAGCAAGGTTATTTATTTTAAGTAATCTCCAGCTGCCATGGGAGAGCTAAAGAATTAAAAACAATAGCAGTAAGCAGGCCCATAACTCACAACAGGAGATGATAAAAATTAAATGCCATCGTGAAGTGTATGCCACACTCTAACAGAAACTTGCTGACTTTGTTCCACAAGTCCTTCTAAAAAGATACTCCCACATTCATTTTCATCACTCTTCTTTCCTTATATGTAAATAAAGGAATATTGCACCGCTTCCCTTTAACAATGACTACTGAATTTTGGATGACTGTCTGGCTATTTCCTCTTTTGCTTTACCACTGCCTCTTAGCCCTCTGGGGGATTTCTGAGGGCACAAACACAAGTAGGACATTGTGATTTAAAATGAAAAGCAAATCCGGTTACTTGCTTGTCTAAAAGTTGCAGAATAGGGATCAAGGAATATGAAATATAAGCAGAATTGCAATTTTTCAAATGGCTTAAGGAAATTATTTTCTGTGTTCTATCAGAATGAGTAACTGAATGTTATTGCTTTAGATGCAAGGGAAAGTACAGTGAGCCATTAGATCTGTTTTGATGATGAATTCAAAAATTTTTATGTCATCTGTCACTCAGATGCACTATGAAGTGTTCTTGCACTGACAAAGCTATTATTATTTTCCTGCTTTCTTACCCTGTATAAGAAGTCAAGATACCTCCTCTTCTAAAGGCAGGCGTTACTCCTTAGAGAGTAGTAAAAAACATAAGAGTAGCATACTCTTTGTTATTCATCCACAGTGGTTTGTTGATGTGTCACACTGGGGAGAAGAGTTTATTACAGAAATATTAGATGAATAAACCCTTATGGAAATATGAAAAGGCAAACACTACAAAGGAGTGTCAGGATTGTTCTGTTTCTCTCCATTTGAAAGATTATAAAATTTAATTCCAGTTTCTATATGCACTGAGATTTGGTGTAGAAGTAGTTTAAAAATACGGTTTTGAGCATTTATGGAAACATGGGTTTGCAACTCTGCACTTCTAACATTAAGAAAGGCATTGCAACAGAAAGGCATTGCAAACCACAATAGTGGGATTTCTCTGAATCTTTCACAATCTTTCGTAAACCTTTTTGATTTAAGAAATTAAATACTTAGTAGAACAGATGTTTCTAGAGAAAAAAACAATTGGAATGCAAGCCCTTACAACACTCTGTAAGTATGCAAATGACAAAGGCATTTCACAGCTGGCATCTGGACATGAATCACTTCTCAGGAAACCTCTCTAACTAGAAGCTCCCTGCACAAGAGCCCGCAGTTGGCAGGAAGTCAAAGGTGTGAGCACACAATGACTAGGATTTGGTCTAGTTCCATTGAAACCAGTTAAGAGGTTCCCTCAAACTGCTGATGGCTAGTGACATTCAAGCTGTAGACAGAAGTTAGAAAACGTCCCAGCTTTTCACTTATGAGAGCCTAGTATTTTATAACTAGAGTCCTGTATCAGAAAGATGGTGCCTACCTGGGATCAGATTGCCACTCCTTTGGAAGGTACAAAAGTGAAAAGGAACTGGTTTGAGAGGCACATAAAGCTACCACCATCAGTCTGCTCCACAACAGCTACCCCGCACATCACTTCACATCAATCTGGAAGCTCCCTCAAAGCACATTTTTAAAGGTCACTGCACATACACTGACTTGGGCACTTACAGCTACAATTAATGGTTCTACTAAATGGGTTTATGAAGACTAAAGCCCACAAAGAAAAAATTTGTACACGTCACTGCCATTCAGCTCAAGACCATCTGCACTACAGAGTCATGCTGCAGCTGTTCACCTTGTTTTGATGGGGCTGGATTTAAAGCCAAGCCAGGGCCTATAACTCATATTGATAGCAGCAGCTTAAATAAGCCATCTGTCCACTCTGACTACCTAGGAAGACCAAAGAACAATTCTCCTATTCAGATAATCAAACTGGAGACATGTTTATTGCTACAATGTGCAAGAGAAGCCAGTCTTTAAATATATGTAGTTCTCATCCCCAGAAGAAAGGCAGTTTTTTTCATGAGAGAGGCTCCTTGGGTGCATCAAGTCACCTGCAAAGCACGAGGATTTGAAGTGGCCCCCTTACTTCACATGTATATTGACAAACATGTCCTCTGCTACAAGACCTCCAGTACCACGGCAAGACACACTGCTTTTAGTTTATCAAGCTCATTTGCTGCCGTGAGAAGTTTATTAGATGGGGGCATGAAGAGACACTGCTGGTAGTGTCCACACTGTTAAACACAAACTTCCCAAGTTAAGAGGCACAGCTGCTTTCCAAGGAACAGCCAATAGTCAGTAAAATAAGGAACAAACCTACAGCTAGTAAACACGTGGTGCTATGCTGCTTTTTTGTTGCTCCGACAGCTGTATGTAATCATCACAGCTGTGCATGGTATTCAAACAGAATCTGAGTAAGCAGAGAATAGACATTGTTCCCTACCTAAAGGAAACACAGAGCTGCACAAAGATGAGCAGAGTGGAGGGTTAGACTGCCAGAGCAGAACAGTAGTAAGTAAGTAATATGACAAGAATAGTATAAAGAGGGTGGTTTGCAAATACAGGTTCAAGATATTTGAAATTATATGAATTATAGAGTGAACAATACCATGAAGGTAAAGTTTTGCCAATAGTTTGTATGGATATAGTGGGCCTCTCCTTAACACAAAAGTACTTCAGTCCTTTAATAATCTTTGTTGTCTTTGTTCTGGACTCGCTCCAGTATGTCCATGTCTTTCTTGTACTATGGGCTCAAAACTGGATTCAGCATTCCAGACATGCTGAATCCAGAGGAATGATCATTTTCTTTCAAATGCTGGCAGTGTTCTTCCTAGTGCAGCCCACAATGCTGTGGGCCTTTTTCTTCATAAGGGCATATTGCTGGTAGATGACAAGCTTCTTGTTCCCAAAGACCCCGAGGCCCTTCATTGCCAAGCTATTCTCCAGAACCCAGAATGTACTGGTGGCTCGAATTATACTTATCCCAGTGTAAGACTTCGCATCTCCCATTGTTGGAGCTCTATGAGATTTCCTTCTGCCCAATTCTCCAGCCTACCAAGGTCCCTCTCAGTGGTAACACAGCCCTCTTATGTAATAGTCACTCCTCCTGGTTTTGTATAATATGTGAATTTGCTGTAGCAGCACTCT